CGCCATACATGTACTATTCAACGTGGTGAATTAGAATTAAAGCTATTTTATCTGGGAAAAAAACCAATTCACTATACAAATTACAAATAAATATTCACTTCACAAAGATGCGCAACTTGACCTAAGGATTACCACATTTGAGAAGTTGATATTATAATTACTCTAAACTTCTCGAGTCTAGAGCAATAGCTTTGTTTTCTTTACAATCCAACAATGGCTTTATACCGTTTGAGACCAATGATTAAATTTTTATTGATAAATCTTGATTAGAAGAAGTAAAAATTTTAAATTTAAAGAATTTAGTTTATAAATCAAAATTGGTGATTAAAATTTTAAGAACACATAAAAATTGGAAAGATTCCTATTAACCATATTAATATATATGATGCAAAATAACCATATCAAACTTTATTGTATATATAACTTTTCTCCGAAAAGTTATTGTAAGATATTGTAAGTGTCAACAACTATTTTTTGGGTTTAATTTACATTACACCACTATATTATTCTCTGTATGACATTTGATTGATAACTTGACATAGAAAAATTAACTTTTTCTATGAAAACTACTTTAAAGTTAGCTTTCCTAATCATTCTTGTCTTGATATTTTCCTTTCCTTGATTGAAGATATTAAAAAGAAATATGAATCAGAATTAGCTATTTACAATACAAATTCTTATAACTCGAGCATAAGATTGGAAAAAAAGAAAACTATTAGATTGTACTTGCAATTACTTTTATTAAATCGAACTTCTACCTAAAATCTGGGTAAACCAAAAATATTTTGCATGCATTGTCATTATATATCATTACATTTCAAAATCTACAAAGAACATGCGCAAAATTTCACTTATATAGCATAAATTTTAAAAAAAACTTTGAAAAATGAAATGGTGAACGCGAATAATTTGGTAATTCGATTTTAAAAAACACCAATCAAATTTCAAAATTTTTAAATATTAATGTACTCAAACAGATTAAAAACTTCAATAGATGATTTTTCTAACACATTAACAGTCGGGGAGCACCATACAACATAGTTTATCGTGTAAATTGGGGACTGACTCAGCCTTCAAGATCTCCGTCCATTTGAATAGTGGCCACATAAGTTACAATTTTCAAATTCTACAATAGCTTGCGCACTACTTAAAAATAGTGGTCAGTCAACAATGAAAATAAAAAATTTAGAAAAGATCAAATCAAACTGGCATAGAATGATATATACAAAGAAATAAAAAGTCCATACAATTTTAATAGTAATTACAACAAAAATTTAAAGCAGAATTTAAGTGGTGTAAGTCTTAAAAAATGGAGACATGGGAAACTCAAAAGTTGTAACTATTCAAACAATAAAATTGTTTATTAAAAGCAAAAATAATAATAAATAAAAGTATAAAATGTGTATATAATAAAAATAAAAAGGTTTTAAATTAAATGGAGAATTTAAGTGGTGTAACTCTTCAAAAATGGAGACGTGGAAACTCAAAGGTTGTAACTATTCAAACAATAAAATTGTTTATTAAAAACAAAAATAATAATAAATGATAGTATAAAATGTGTATATAATAAAAAATGAAGACGTGGGAAACTCAAAAGTTGTAACTATTCAAACAATAAAATTGTTTATTAAAAGCAAAAATAATAATAAATGATAGTATAAAATGTGTGTATAATAAAAATAAAAAGGTTTTAAATTAAATAGAGAATTTAAGTGGTGTAACTCTTCAAAAATGGAGACATGAGAAACTCAAAGGTTGTAACTATTCAAATAATAAAATTGTTTATTAAAAGCAAAAATAATAATAAATGATAGTATAAAATGTGTATAAAAATAAAAGGTTTTCAAAACATTTAATGTAAAATATTTAAAATGATAGCATAAAATGTGTATATAATAAAAATAAAAAGGTTTTAAATTAAATGGAGAATTTAAGTGGTGTGACTCTTCAAAAATGGAGACGTGAAAACTCAAAGGTTGTAACTATTCAAACAATAAAATTGTTGATTAAAAGCAAAAATAATAATAAATGATAGTATAAAATGTGTATATAATAAAAAATGAAGGTGCGGGAAACTCAAAAGTTGTAACTATTTAAACAATAAAATTGTTTATTAAAAGCAAAAATAATAATAAATGATAGTATAAAATGTTTATTTAATAAAAATAAAAAGGTTTTAAATTAAATAGAGAATTTAAGTGGTGTAACTCTTAAAAAATGGAGACATGAGAAACTCAAAGGTTGTAACTATTCAAATAATAAAATTGTTTATTAAAAGCAAAAATAATAATAAATGATAGTATAAAATGTGTATAAAAATAAAAGGTTTTCAAAACATTTAATGTAAAATATTTAATAAAAATTATTTTGTATTTTTGAAAATTCTAAAAATATTAAGAAATTTCTTACACTTTTAGAATAGTATATATATATATATATATATATATTAATCCAAATATTTCATTCATATTACAAATGTCCAGTCAAGAAAATTGACCAGTCAGGAGCGATTATTTGACTGATTGCATGGTGCCACAAATTTTTACGCACATGTGGCTATTATGGAGATTAAATTTCCTCATAATTAGCTTTATAAAAATCATATGAGCTTCATGGAATTTCAGTATTTGATCTCGAATATGAGGCACTCAAAAATTTTAGTATATATCCATAATTTGAAACAAAACCAACCAATTGGAATTTGGAACTTGAGTATACACGCATGAATACATATAAATATATTTCAATTTTGAATTTTCCAATGCACCCAAAATTAAACAAACACTTGAACACACATTTCAATTCCCTTACCGAAAACACACATATGCGTAAAAAAAAAAAAAAAAAAAAAAAATCAAATATAGGAAATGGAATTTCTTATTTCTTCCTATCACATGACATGTTACATGGTATTGTTCATGGGAATTAAACAGATTAATTCCATGGCATGCATGTCTCTTATTTCAGTATAAAGAAAAAAGACAACAAAACGGTAACAGTTTATTCGCAATATGTAGTTTGAATTCTATATAGCTTCAAACCTTGAAAATCACAAGAAAAAAGAATCATATATTAATCTCAAAGCAAAAATAATGAACAAATATAAAAAGAAATTAAGGAATTAATTAATGTGTGAATGCAGCAATGATATTACTGGTTGTATTCGATGTTGATTTTTCCAATTGGTGGATCAGCGATCATGGAGAAGGCTTCTTGAGAGAGATCAATGGTGGATTGGCATCCAGGTGATGGACAACGATCCACGATCTTCATCGTCACGCTGTCGCCTCTGCAAGGTGGCACACCTTGGTTTGTAGGTCCTGTGCACGTAACATGATACATTGTTCCACATGCAGCTCCATTGTTCTATATGGCGTCGCTAGCTGCTGCAATCATGACTCCCTGGTCTTGGTACCCACAGCATGCCAATGCTGCATGACAAACAACAAAATTCAATATATAATCTATATCTCAATCTCAATCAATAACATATATATATATACACACACACACATAGAGAGAGAGCTAGAGTGGTTTGTGTAGTATACTTGGGAACATAGACGGTATAGTAAGTGGCAGTTCCGGCAATGGCAGAAGCCATGGAGATTAGGCTTGCGGCCATGCAAATTATAATAATAGCACGCAGGTTCATTGCCATCTCTAGTGATTTGTTTGTATGAATTAATGAACACTCTCAACTAATTAAGATTGTTCTATTATCTGATCTTCTTCTATCAGTAGTGTGTCTGTGTTACTTCAATTCTGTTTTGCATAATGGTCTCTATTTATAGGACCAAACCACCCTTCTCTTCCAGAAAACGGTCTTTACACGTTTTGTAATTCTGACAAAAATGACTTCTTAGAAGTAAAGGCTAGCTAGTTAATGTCCTATTGTCATAGTAGTATTACTATGTACTTGTTGATAATATTAATATATGTTTTAACCATCTTAACTTGCGCCTTCTAGAATGATCAAACTTGTAAGCTTAGGAGAAAGAATAGTAATTACCAGATACAAATAGTAACTATTTTATTTTAATATTTTTATTATTCTTATTTCAAATAAGCATAGTTAATTAGTTTGAAATAATCATATAAGGTTTGTTGCATTAGTGGACTCCATCTACAAATTTGAGTTTAAAATTTATTTCCTGGAGTATTGGGGGGGGGGGGGGGGGGGGGGGGGGGTGTGGAGGTTGTTTTGAAAAAAGGGATTTTTTTTTTTTTTTTTCCTTCTAAAATGTGTTGTTCAATAATTAGACATATTATTCCAATTTTGAATTTTACAACGTCAATCAATTGGTCCATATAAGCGTTCAAACTCGTATAAGCAAATTTTCTTGTGCACGTAACTATCCGCAGCCGTGGCAAACTTTGTGTATTAGTCAATCCAATCTGCCACAGAAGTTGTTGGAGAAATTTTGGGACCATATTTTTTATGGGGTAAGTGTAAAAAACACCCCTCAACTATACTCATTTTTACTTCATATTTAAAAAAGTGTGTAATAAACATCCTTAATCTTTTAAAATTATGCAAAATTACCCCTCCGTCAGAAATCTGACCTAAATTATTGTTGTAATACCCCATTTGCTTTTTAGTCTTCCGAAAATACCCATTCTCTTCTCTGCTCTTTGCGAATTAGTCTTCCGAAAAAGAAGTCTCAGTTGGGTGAGAAAAATAGGAAAGATACAAGACGAAAAATTAGAGGATAAAAGGCTCGTTGAGACCTCAGCCAACAGAGAGAAAGGATCGGATGGAATGGTCGGGCTGAAACGCGGCAGAGCCTGTTCCTTCGTCTAGCCGGGAGACTGTGGCAATGCCCAGCGAGATGGATTCGGGTTTGGCGACGACGACTTGTGCACGCCGAGGTGGAGATGGGCTGTCTGTGACGGCGATGGGCTGGTTGCGGCTTCGGCTGTGAGCTTGAGGATGATGGCAGTGAGATAGGCTTTAATGGAGGCGGCAGCGAGCTCGGCTTTGATAGGCTCGGCCGTGGAGGATGTCGACTGTGATGGAGGCGGCGGTGAGCTCAGATGGGATGAGCTTGGCTATGGCAGATATCGATTGTGATGGAGGCGGTGGTGAGCGAGGTTGAGCTCGGACGATAGAGAGTTGTGTGATGATGGCGGTGACGGATCGGCGAGCTTGCAGCGGCTCAGATGGATCGCCCTTCACCTTCTATACTACCGCTTAACACCACTAATTTCATACCCATGGTCGCCACTCTTTCTTCTGCCATCTCATCGCCGCCTTCATCATCAATTAAGATTTTCTTTATTTTCTGAAAAGATTTGATTTTTAATCTGGGTTTGATAATTTGTAATTAATATTGTGTTTTTGCTTAATGTCTACTATCACCACCGCTGCATCGCCGAGCCCTCTCGCCGGCCACCGATTCCACCGGCCGAGCTTGCCTTTCCACATCCGAGCCCATCTTCTCACCACTGTTCGTCCTCTCTACCGTCGCTCTATCAAAGCCGAGCTCGCCGCCGCCTCCATCATCAAAGTCGAGCTAGCCGTCGGTGTCGCGACACATGGGTTTCTAGGTGTGCAAATTGTCCTTTTTGGTCTTTTTACAAAATTTTGTATTTTTATATATTTTATAAAATTGTTGACTAAGGGTACTTTAATCAAATTTGGTTTTAAATATGCCAGAGAGACTTGATTGTATCAAATTAAAACTTGAAGGGTGTTGTTTGTACGGGAGGAGTGTGATATGTACTATATAAGCATAGTTAAGGGGTGTTTTTTGCACTTGGCCCTTTATGCTACAGATTTCAATGAGGATGATAAATTTCAATTCAAAGGAAAAGTAATACAATTCTTGACATGGTGTGCAAATTGCGTGAACAAAGGAGATCAAGAATGTGACTTTTCATGGCATACACACACATATTGACACCATCTAATCCAGCCAAACCTGATATGGATAATTTTTTTATTTTTATTTTGGCAACAAGTCTTAGGCATTGTTTGTACACGTCGTAAATTGGACATAATTGAAATGACTCCAAATTTACCAAGCCCAATAAAGATTTGGTGCTTAAATGTCCTCCCCCTCCACTACCTGGTCCCACTTATTGTGTGGTGTACCAGTAAAGCTGTCAAGCCCAATTCAACCATAGTTAAGACTCGGGCTTCATCTTTTTGGGCCTTGATTTAGACACAATCCAAATATTGCCGTTGGAGTTGGGCTGATGTCTCGATAAATCCAAAATCCAAATCCATTTACTCAGCTTGCTGCAATGCCACGCCTTGGACTCTGTAGGGTATCAGAGTTGAATTCTATAGTCTTCTACACTTGTGTAGAGATGTAAAATATTGTATAAAGAGTGAGAATATTCTATAAATTTGGAGAGTTTGTAAACTTTGAATAGTGTTGGGAAAATTTTAATAAAATAGTAAAAAAATTTTGTAGAGTTACATAGAATATTTTAGTGGATAAATCTTAATCCTTTGTTGTAATGCATTTCAGCCGTTCAAGATACCTATAAATAGAGTGTCACTTGTAAAGCAAGAATTTGTATAGGTGACAACTTATAAAAAGTAGGAAATCACAAGAAGTGTTGTAGAGTTAACAGATATTTGGGTAGAATATTTTAATGGGTGAATCTTAATCCTTCGTTATAATGCATTTCAGTCATTCAAGAAGAATGATACCTATAAATAAAGTATCACTTGTAAAACAAGAATTTCTATATGAACCCATTTACTCAGCTTGCTGTCATGCCACGCCTTGGACTCTGTAGGGCATCAGAGTTGAATTCTATAGTCTTCTACATTTGTGTAGAGATGTAAAATATTGTAAAAAGAGTGAGAATATTCTATAAATTTGGAGAGTTTGTAAACTTTGAATAGTATTGAGAAAATTCTAATAGAATAGTAAAAAAGTTTTGTTGAGTTAGGTAGAATATATTAGTGGGTAAATCTTAATCCTTTGTTGTAATGCATTTCAGCCATCCAAGATACCTATAAATAGAGTGTCACTTGTAAAGCAAGAATTTAGGAAATCACAACAAGTTTTGTAGATTTAACCGATATTTAGGTAGAATATTTTAGTGGGTAAATTTTAATCCTTCCTTATAATATATTCCAGTCGTGCAAGAAGAATGATACAGTTGATACCTATATATAGAGTGTCACTTGTATAAATGTAGGAAATCACAAAAGTTTTGTAGAGTTATAATGCATTTCAGTCGTCCAAGAAGAATGATACTTATAAATAGAGTGTCACTTATAAAGCAAGAATTTCTCTAGGTGGCAAGTTATAAGAAGTAGGAAATCACAACCATGTATTATTTGAATGGTAATAAGTGTTTTGAATAGTAATGCGTAGCAGTTTACACGAGCCAGGTGATATTAAAGGGAATGGATCCTCTCCAAGGGAATTCCTCTCTTAGTATCTCCAAGGATTTAATCCTATGGCTGTTACAGTGCCACATCACTATCTTACCATTCCCTTATTAATTTACCAAAACTTAATTAAATATTGTATCTTTTGGATTCCAATATAACAATTACGGCTGATTTCCCATCCCGCTCATTTTACTTTTTGGCGCTAAAATTTCCATATAACAATTACACTTCATTTTACTTTTTGGCACTAAAATTTCTGAGATAAAAATTACCATTCTGCTTCCCTCTTTCAATTTCCCTCCACTATCATCAATCTTTATTGGCTACAATTTAAGGTTTAGAAGATTTCACAGTTTTTTCTAGTTTGAGAAAGTATTTTAAGATCTTGCTACATCAAATAACTCAAAGCTCATCTGGATCTCTTCTACCTTCCAGAGTTTTATCCACTGCAACGTCTAGGTTAGTTGAATCATAAATAAATATATATAATATTTCAATTTTTATTGAATAAGTTTTTTTCCGTTTAATTTATTTCTCTTTGCATCATCCCTCTTCTTCAAAGAGTTGTTCTTCATAATTTTTTTGTTTTTCCATATGCTTTTCATTTGGCTAGATCATTTTTTAATTGATGGGAAGGTTTCACTTTTCTTTTCCCATTTTCTCATATTTCACTCTAATAGTTAGATTTATTTAGCCTTTTAACATGTATATTTATTTTAACATATTTATTTCCTTTATGTTGAAGAAATTTTTTAGATTGAATTTTAAAATGTTTCAGACCACTTTTGCACGCAGGGATTTATATGGATTTCTTCAATTTAAGTAAATCAGTCTCTTTCTTTTAATGAAAAAAACCTTATAGTATATACCAAATAAAAAAATTCCATGGATTCATGTAGTATTTTTTTGGAAAACAAATCTAATTTTATGCATCTCTTCTTAGAGTATCACAAAGTTAAATTGAATAGGAGTTATGGTTAACTTGTTTTAATTGTGTGCTTAGCAATAAGATTTAAAGTCAACTTATCTTCACTTTGATAACTGATAATTTACTTATTTATTCAGCTATTTTTGCTCTAAACGGCATTGTGCATCAATATGATTTGTTTTTTAGGGTGTGTTGTATCAAATCTGAGGAGAGTTGTTTGAAGACAAACATTAATATGGAAATGTCCGCGGGTGACATTAGTTGGAAACCTAAGTTTGGAATGGAGTTTGAAACTCAAGAAAAAGCTTATGAGTTTTATAATGAGTATGGGCGCAGGACTGGGTTTAGTGTTAGAAAAGAAAACTGTAATAAAAATCTGATTACCGGTGAACTTACTTCAAGGTTATGTGTTTGTTGCAAGGAAGGTTTTCGAGGTAAAGATAAGCGGGACTACTTGACGAAGAACCCAAGAGCTGAGACTAGGACTGGTTGTGGTGCCCAAATGAATATCAAATTGAATAGAGGCAGTAATAAGTATTGGGTAAATAAATTTGTAGAAATACACAACCATCCATTGGTTATGGAATAATGTACTCACATGATGCCATCACAACGTAGAATTTCTGTAGCTCAGGCTATTGAAATGGAGTTAGCAGATGATTCTGGAATATGAATTGTTAGGAAGGCATGTTGGTGGAAAGGAGTGTCTTGGGTTCACTAAGCTAGACCAAAAAAATTATCTACGGTATAAAAGACAACGAAATCTAGCAGTCGGGGAGGCGGGAAGCTTGTTAAGATATTTCCAACAACACTTGTTGGAAAATCCTTCATTCTTTCACGCTGTGCAACTGGATAATGAGGAGCAAATAACAAATATTTTTTTGGCAGATGCAAAACTGATTATTGATTATGGTCAATTTGGAGATGTCGTGATTTTTGATACTACATACAAAGTCAATAAAGCTAATCGACCATTTGCAGTTTTTGTTGGATTTAATCATCATCGAGAAACCATTATATTTGGAGCTGCATTGATGTATGATGAGACTGCCGATTCTTTCATTTGGTTATTTGAAACTTTTTTGGAGGCAATGTCAAAGAAAAATCCGAAAACCATTTTCACTGATTAAGATGCAGCGATGGCAAAAGCTTTAGCACTTGTAATGCCCGAAACATGTCATCAGCTTTGTACTTGGCATACCATGCAAAACGCTGTGAAACATTTAAGTGGTGTGTTTAAAGTTTCAAATGGGATTAAATCTGTGTAACGAAAATTCATGGACTATTATGAGGAAGAAGATGAGTTTATCAATGCTTGGGATACTATGCTATCTGAGTATCATGTTTGTGAGAATACTTGGTTGCGTAACATGTTTGAATTGAGGAGAAAATGGGCAAAGGCATATCTCAATTGTGAATGGTCTGCAGGGATGAGGAGCACACAACTTAGTGAAAAGTTTGAATGCTTGTTTAAAAGATTACTTAGAGTCTGACCATGATTTACCTTGTTTTTTAAACACTTTGAAAGGATGCTTCATGATAAGCGATACAAGGAGTTACAGGCTGAATATGCATTATGCCATAAGATGCCCAAGATTAAAATGGACTTAAAGATCCTAATGCATGCAGGTAATGTTTATACCAATGCCATTTTTGAGGAGTTTCAAAACCAATATGTAAAGGCAATGGAGGCCGATATAAAAGGCTGCAGGGAGGAAGGTGGAATTTTTATCTATACAATTGTTGATCATCAATCTAGAGATCGTCAAGTCAAAAGGAGCTTAGATGACTTCTTATCATGTAGTTGTGGAATGTTTGAGATGATGGGTGTTTTATGTAGTCATGTTATAAAGATTCTTAGAGAAGTCATGCATGTTAAAGAAATACCAAGGGCATATATCTTAAAGAGGTGGACTAGAGATGTAAAAGTTAGATTTGTGCAAGATAATCATGGGCGCAATATTAAAGCGGATGTCAAGTTAGAAGTAACATCTCGGTATAAGAACTTATGCCATTTATTTACCAAGATATCATCTATGGCAGCAGAAAATGATGAATCGTATACAGCGGCTCTCCACCATATAGATGAATTGAGCAAAGTTATTGATAACATTTGGAAGCTAAAAATATATGGCGAAAATGAAAATGGTTATCCAGATTACTTTTCCATTGCCTGTGATACAAATGAAAATGAACATGTCTTGGATGTGCCCAAAGATATACATGCCAAGGGCTTAAAGAGAAGAGAGTCCTCTAAAGGAAGACGAAGACTTAAATCATTTCTTGAGAAGCCATGACAAAAGAAGAAAAAGTCTTCAAATCAACCATCTCAGGTATTTTAATTATATATCTTAATATGCTACATTATTTATGAGTATTTTAAATATATCTAGGTTTGAAGTGTGGAAATTTGAATTGGTTTAGGCTGTCCAAATACCTTCTAACTTATCAGCATTAACCCAAAACGATGGCTCCTCATCCATGTTGTATCATACTCTTAATGTAAGTAATTTTTAATTATATTATTTTCTGAAAAAAAAACTTTTAATTAAATTTTCTATTTTAAAATATTTCATGTTGTTTATAACTAACTCATACGTGTCTTCAGAATTGTGAGTTACCCAATTCCTATGCTTTGATGAGTTATGGATATTTGCAATCTCAAACATTACCTAAGCACTCTCAAGCATTCAACAGCCTGTTCTCTACTCAGGTAAGATGTGAATTATTGGTATATTGAGGCAGAAACAAGAATGAAAGTAGATATTTGAAACTCTTTGCAAGTGAACAATGGAAGAATCACTGAAGTAACAATGGACAATGATTTAGCTAGATCTTCAGAAATTAATGACGGAATGGTAAGTTTGGGATATCTTAATTTCCTTCTTTTGAGGTGTTCAAATGTAGTGCTTGGGCTGGTAACTTAAAATAGAATAATCATGTAACATTTTCTTTTATAAGACCATCGATTTTAATATCAATGGAAAGATGTCCACTCCGGCAACAATTGATGGCGATCATATTCATTTTGAAAGCTTCAGCAAGTATTTGGTGAGTCCACACCAACCACTGTTACTTTATTGTTCACTAGTTGGTGAAAACTATTTAAACAAAAATTCATTGCTGCAACTATTCTTTATAACCTTGTTTTCCAATAAAAAGTTCTTCTAAAATATATTGTTTATGTAGAATATGTAGGACTTCTATGAATTGTTTTCCTTCTGCATATGTGCTGTTGACAGAAAAGCTTTCTGACTTCACTGTTTTATTAGGTAAGCATTCATGTTTCAAATTTTATTCTACATATTCATTTGTTTTTTATTTTGAGTTATGTAGCTCTCATTTTATGCTAGGGTAAGTTATATGTGGAAAGTAAGTTGAGCACTGAAACAAGTGTTTTGTGTACAGGTTGCCTATGGGAGGCTCTAAAAAAAAAATGTTCGATTTGGTATTGGAGGTTGTACAGATGTTTATTGAATTTGATCCCACTTAATATCTGATTTTTGGTTGAACTAAGAAGGGATGTTTTCATTGTATCAATTTTTTTTTTTACTTTTGGAACTCTAAGTTGCAAATGCACAATGATTTCAATTCATGTTCTCTAGTATTTGTTCTGATTTTTGGTTGAACTAAGAAGGGATGTTTTCATTGTATCTTTTTTTTTTTTTTTTTTTTACTTTTGGAACTCTAAGTTGCAAATGCACAATGATTTCAATTCATGTTCTTTTGTATTTGAGTGTTTTGAAGTCAGAACCTTGACAGTCATAAAGGGTGCACAAGTGCAACTAAACATACCATTGGCAAAATTCAATTTTAAGAGGAAAATAAACCCTTTTTTTTTTTTTTTTTTTTTTTGTTATAGTTGTCTGATGCAGTGAAATCTATATTCTTATCCACAAATTCAAAAAAAAAATTATACCCAAATTTTCAGATTTTTACTCACCCTTAATTAAATTATTTTCAACTGTAAGAAATTGAAAGAAGGGAGTAGAATGGTAATTGTTATCTTAGAAATTTTAGCGCCAAAAAGTAAAATGAAGCATAATTGTTATATGGAAATTTTGGCGCCAAAAAGTAAAATGAGCTGGGAAATCAGTCGTAATTGTTATCTTGCAATCCAAAAGATACCATATTAATTAATTAAATTTTGGTAAATTAATGAGGGAATGGTAAGATAGTGATGTGGCACTATAACAGCTATATGATTAAATCCTTGGAGATGTTAGGAGAGGAATTCCTTTGGAGAGGATCCATTCCCGATATTGAATAGTAATGTGTGTTTTTTTAAATAATACTGCTATTAGACCCGACTTAAAAGAACTGAAGAACTGTCGACATGCAATGTGGCAAGCCATGTGTGTGCTTTGAAGAACCAACTTCCAAAGAAACAAATTGAAAAAAGCTCAAAAAAAAAAAAAAAAAAAAAAAAAAAAAAAAAAAAAAAAAAAATCTCATATGTGAATTTATGCCTTATTTAATTTATTTCATAGTTTTTTTTAGTTGAATTTTATTTTTCGATTTGTTGGTATGTGAAATAAATGGGTCTCTCCCTTCATAAAGCTCTATTATGTAAATAGTAGCATATAAGTAACTTGGAACAATTTGTGGTTGAAAGCTCGTCGAGGCCGTCGGAAGTTGCGCAAGTCGTTCCAAGTATCACGCAAAAGGGTTTTCAATTCAATCATAGGTTTTGGGATCATTATTTTTATAACCCTAATTGCTTCAGGAAGTAAATTTTTAGCCCTAGATTTTTTTTCAATGAGAGAAATCGGGATATATCTGAGATATTGGGACGACTGGAGATGAGAGAGAAAATTTCACTGTCAGACGCTAAATCTCCATCACCAGGTCGTCGCTGCGGCTAATGATTTCATCGGTGGTGACGATAGAGGAGATTTGGCCCAACAATCTTTGCCAATTCCGACGACAATTAAAAGTCATTCATTCAACTATTTCTCTCTGGATTGGAATATTTTTTAGGTAGATTGCGAGTATCGTATGTTGTGATAAAATTAGGGGTGAGTGTGCGAGCAAGAGAGAAATTTTGTGGTTATTACGTGGTTTGCCACGTTAGTGTTTCGCTTAGGCCGATTCTAATGTCCATAGATATCATCAAAATTATCATTTTTCATAATTTAATGGGTTAAATGCAAAAAAAACCCTCTGAACTATTGACAAATTAGCAACAAACCCCCCTGAATTACAAAAGTTGCAAGAAACCCCCTGAATTATAATTTTTGTTGTAGATTACCTAATCCGGCGACGCTCCGGCTGCATCTCACTTGCAAAATGATCATGTGCCATCACGTGACCCAAAATATCTAACTTTATGACCATATTGTACTTTATAAGCATGAAAAGACTCCATTGCCCTTCTTGTGCCCATTCCACCCTACCTCTTTAACTTACTTTTCCACCCAAACACACCCTTAACCCTTATTTCTATATATACACATACAGACATATATATATATATATATATATATATATATATAGAAATACTGTTCATCTTATCCGTGAGCCTTCTTAGGGATGAAGGAATAACATCATCTCTTTGGATGAACATCATCTTAGAAAACTCCCCTGAACTACAAAAAAAATCCTCCTAGTTTGAGCTTCGTGTCTGACTCAATCGATTCTACCACCAGGAGCGTAAATTTTGATCTTTCGAGCTCTGTCTCTAAATCACTCTGTTCACAGACCTCAAGCTATGACGAAGTTAGTACCAGTGATTTATTCGATTTTATTCCCAATTCGTTTACTTTCAAGCAAATTGAAAATGATTTCTTTGAATTCAAATCAAAACAACAAATAATCGATCTCACGAGGCCAAAGTCGAAAATTTTGGACTTCGAATCGAATTCCGAGTTGAGATTCAATAATCGTAAGCCATCATTGAAGATCAATTTGCCTCCAGTGAAGAAATTTGAGGTTTTGGAATTCGCTGAGTCGACTCAGCCATCAAGAGTTGTGTCTGTAAAGAAACCTTTGAATACAGAGGAGAGGTTACATTACAGAAGGGTCCGACAAAGGCCGTGGGGCAAAGTTCGTGGCGGAGATTCGAGATCCGAATCGTCGCAGGTCGAGGGTTTGGCTTGGGACATTTGACACCGCCATTGAAGCCGCCAAAGCTTATGACCGAGCTACATTCAAGATCCGTGGGCGGCGGCCGATCTCTGTTGCTGGGATTGGTGGGTCTTTTCTGCCATAGCTCCATCACAGCCAGCCCATCACCACTGCCGACCTCTTCACTGGCCAAGCACTACCGCAATTCATTCACAGCCCATCATCTCTACCGCCCGAGTTCATCCTCGCCGAACTCAAGAACACGAGAAGCTTAGTTTATGTAATTTTTAATTGAAAAAAGGGAAGGTTGCAGAGAGAGAGAGGGGGGGTATATTGGGAAGAGAGAATTGAGAGTGGAGAGGTGAGAAGTTGGGATTCATAAGTGAGAAGGATTGAACGAAATGTTATCTGGGTTGGTGAATTTATCATAAAGCTGTTGATGGAATTCAATGATTCTGCTTTGTGTAAACTGGTATTGAAACCGCCAAAGCTTATGACCGAGCTACATTCAAGATCCGTGGGCGGCGGCCGATCTCTGTTGCTGGGATTGGTGGGTCTTTTCTGCCATAGCTCCATCACAGCCAGCCCATCACCACTGCCGACCTCTTCACTGGCCAAGCACTACCGCAATTCATTCACAGCCCATCATCTCTACCGCCCGAGTTCATCCTCGCCGAACTCAAGAACACGAGAAGCTTAGTTTATGTAATTTTTAATTGAAAAAAGGGAAGGTTGCAGAGAGAGAGAGGGGGGGTATATTGGGAAGAGAGAATTGAGAGTGGAGAGGTGAGAAGTTGGGATTCATAAGTGAGAAGGATTGAACGAAATGTTATCTGGGTTGGTGAATTTATCATAAAGCTGTTGATGGAATTCAATGATTCTGCTTTGTGTAAACTGGTATTGAAACCGCCCCCCCCCCCCCTATCTGGGTTGGTGAATTTATCATAAAGCTGTTGATGGAATTCAATGATTCTGCTTTGTGTAAACTGGTATTGAAACCGCCCCCCCCCCCCCCCCCCCCCCCCCGAAAATAACTCTCTGGTTTCGGTTGTGTTGGTGAACATCTTTTGGCAGGAAGAAAAAAAAAAAAAAGTAGTGTATTATAAGGATAAAAAGGTCTTTCAAATTTTCCAGTATCGAAATATGCCGTCATGGGGTAAATTGCAACAAAATCATAGTTTAAGGGAGTTTTTTTGTAGTTTAGGGGGTTTCTTGCAAATGACCAATAGTTCAGGGGGGTTTATTGCATTTAACCCTAATTTAATACTAAATAGTTATAAATATTTCATTGGGCTATCTTTATTGACTCCACCCAGTTTCTTGTCAAGGTTAAAATTGAATAAAATAATATATACATGATATATATATATTAATTAGTTTATATATACCTTTTTAATGAAAAACTTAACACAACATTATTTGAAATTATCCTTCCAGAATAAATGTATTTTTTTGATAATCTAACTGTTTAAGAGAATGATTTTTATTAATTTTTTATTATTATATTGATAGTGGTTGAATTACCACAGTTACTTATAATGGATCCATAAAGATGTAATGGATTTACTTTTTATAAATTCAATGCAAAAATATTAAAATGGTAATGTTATACAAAATAATATATTGATTTTTTAATTAGAACTAACTATTTTGGGATAAGTAAAAATGAAAAGGTAAACACTTTTTGAGAGACAAAAGAAGAATAGATGCAGTTTCACTTTTTACCTTACTAATATGGGCAGAATCTTATTTTATTTTGATTAGGAAAAATTATTTATATATATATATATATATATATTTTTGTCACTGATCCATTAAACTCCACTTGAGGAGGTAAAAAAAGTTGTCATTAGCTTAAATCGTTGTGATACTGAGTTATGTCTGTTACAGTATTATTTTAATACAATTATTTGTTGCACGACAGAAATTTTTTTCCCTCTTTTGATATTCGAATATTTTAAAGTCCCTTTTCAATTCTCTTACATTATGCACGCGTTTGCTGTTGTACTTTTTAAAGCAAAACTATCAAAATCTTATACTTTGTTATTTTCAAACATTTGTCACATTTTTTTTTTTTACTATATGATTATTAATGTTATTTCCTATTCTTAAACTTTCTTTTTCATGAATGGTATTAATTAAGAATATTACCATCAAATAAAATTATGATTATAAATAATTGCAATATTATTAGAGACATGTAGAGACATGTTCTAAGAGTGAAACTCGTATATATCCCCAATCACTTTATCTTTATCCCCAATCACTTTATCTTTCAAATTTGATGTGGTACAAGACTTCTTATTGCTTGATCGTAATATATTTTTCATTGGAAAAGCGGGCATATTAATATTGTTTTGGCTATGGAATCTATCAGGCCAATGTGAAAAGGGTATGGAATGATCAGCCTTCGTAGATTATTTTTGCCTTTGACAAAGTGCAAATGTTGGGAGAAGAAATTAACTAAAGAGAGTGACGAAGGAATTGAAAGACTGAATCGAAAAGGACCAGAAGCCGACTGGAATTTGAAACTCGTATATATCCCCAATCACTTTATCTTTCGAATTTGATGTGATACAAGACTTCTTATTGTTTGATCGTAATATATTTTTCATTGGAAAAGCGGGCATATTAATATTGTTTTGGCTATGGAATCTATCAGGCCAATGTGAAAAGGGTATGGAATGATCAGCCTTCGTAGATTATTTTTGCCTTTGACAAAGTGCAAATGTTGGGAGAAGAAATTAACTAAAGAGAGTGACGAAGGAATTGAAAGACTGAATCGAAAAGGACCAGAAGCCGACTGGAATTTCATTAATCTAGAAATTGAAATACATGCAAGAAAAACTAAACCATGAATTGAAAGTGCAGGACTATAGGAAGGAATGAAAATACATGAAACAAAAAGAAGAAGATAAGAGAGCCTTTGTTCTTCCATTATGTTATTTATAGAAGTTCAAAATGGTAGTTTTTGGAAGTTGGAACTTCCAAGTAGTTATCATCATGTGGTCTTCCAATTCTATCTTTCCACTTGTTTTCTCAACTATGAAGGAGTTTTCTCATCTTCAATTGTTCCCTAAAACTTGTGCCATATGTTATTCTTACAGCCATTTTGTTATATTCACAAACACTTTGAGTTATGATGATAATATTGTGATATATTATGAGGAAGCGTGTTTGGCCTCATTTAAGGTAATCATAAAATCGTTCATATTTCAAGATATCGGTCACATTTCAATCTTCTAATAATTGACCGATAATTATAGTGCAAAACACACAGCCATTTGATCTAGCACAGGCAACATGAAGACCCAAATTCAGCTTGTTCCAGTCTACGCACCAAGAATTATGAATAAGATATCATTACTGTATAATGCTTACCATATTTCAATATATATATATATATATATAAAGTATAAATTTCAAAATATATAAACAAAGAGGGTAAATTATACTTTTTTTTGGAAAAAGAATACAGTCCGTTCTTAAGTATGTAGCTTGTCCAGTTAGCCCACTATCTCAAAGCCCATGTTCTGGGCCTACAATTATTAAAATACATTTACGCCCGGCCCGGTCCGTTATGCACGCATAAGTTTAACCTACAGACATCTGACAAGTGACACACACCTCTGTCTTCAATGTACTTTTTTTTTACTTTTTTCTCTCTCTACCCCCGACGTACTCTCTCTCTCTCTCTCTCTCTCTCTTCCCAACGGAACCAGTTTGAAGGTGCAGATCTACTCTCTTTCACTCTCTTGTTTCTCTCCCCCAACGAATTAAGGTATGCTTTTCTTCACGATTTCTATTCATGTCTTTAAAACTCCAATTTCTCAATTAATTTCCAACTCTCTCTGTTTTCCTCGTTTTTATAATTATTTTTTGTGTATGGGTTGAACAATTCAATATTTATTCTTAGAAGAAAAATTCATTCTTGCAATTGAAAAGCCCAGATTTCAATTCCTTCATAGCATACCTTTGAGATTTTTTACAATTGAAAAGCCCAGATTTCTTTTTTTTTAATTTTATGTCTTGTTAGCCAGAAAAATTTATTGAGTTTATTTATTATTTTTTATAACAATTGAACAACCTATTATTTCTTCTTATTCTTCGATTTGTTTTTATTTTAATTTTTCTCTCCCCCAACGAATTAAGGTATGCTTTTCTTCACGATTTCCATTCATGTTTTTAGAACTCCAATTTCTCTATTAATTTCCAACTCTCTCTGTTCTCCTCATTTTTATAATTATTTTTTGCTGTCTGGGTTGAACAATCCACTATTTCTTCTTAGAAGAAAATTTCCTTCTTGCAATTGAAAAGCCCAGGTTTCAATTCCTTCATTTTAAAAAAAAATTTTATATCTTGTTAGCCAGAAAAATTCCTTGAGTTTATTTATTATTTTTTATAACAATTGAACAACCTATTATTTCTTCTTATTCTTCGATTTATTTTTATTTTAATTTTTCTCTCCCCCAACGAATTAAGGTATGCATTTCTTCACGATTTCTATTCATGTTTTTAAAACTCCAATTTCTCAATTAATTTCCAACTCTCTCTGTTCTCCTCATTTTTATAATTATTTTTTGTCGTATGGGTTGAACAATCCAGTATTTCTTCTTAGAAGAAAAATTCCTTCTTGCAATTGAAAAGCCCAGGTTTCAATTCCTTCATTTTTTTAAAAAAAATTTATATCTTTTTAGCCAGAAAAATTCCTTGAGTTTATTTATTATTTTTTATAACAATTGAACAATCTATTATTTCTTCTTATTCTTCGATTTATTTTTATATTTTGACCCGATAACCAAAAAAATACGTTTGTAGTTTTTTTTGTTTTTGTTTTTTCTGTTTATTTGTTTCTAAATCTGCCTGAGGTTGAAACAATTAACCCTGTAATAGGTGATCCAGAGATATGAAAAGACCGGAGGTGATTTACAGATGCCCGCCGTGTCTGGTGTAGATTTTGGAAACTGATCAACCCTGCCGACCTAATTAGGGGTTGGTCTTTGGGTTAGGTTAAGTTTTTTTATTTTTCTCTTTTTCTTTTTTAGACTGTACAAGCAAAATAATTGTCCGTATTTTCCATAAATGCCCTAATAAAATAAAAACTCTAGGAGGATAATTTTGTAATTTCATACTTTATTTAGTCTTTACGCTATAAATGTTACTATAGAATATTTTTAAAATAAAACATTACTTATCTTATCTTCTCTTTTACTATTAATAAAAGTCCTTTTTTTAAAAGATTCATAATTCGCCACGTATTATATTAGGACTCAGCACACCCTCTGGACACGTACTCACATAACTCCGTTTTGGACCGACTAACCCTTCCTTCTCTCTCTTGCTTTACTCTCTCTCAACGGATCTTCTTTTAATTTACTTTTTAATATTTAATATTTACAGTAGGCTTTTTGTTTCAGTTCCACTGCAACTTCTTACTATCACTGGGTTAGTAAATCAGAGTTATGGAAGGCCTACCAGAAGAAGTCCTGGCACTCTATTGGTCTTTATTTCTGCAATCTCTACCAAGGGGAAATCGAAAAAGGTTACCTCTAAACTCCTCGTTGTATTTTAGCTTTATATTATTACTCACTTGTGTTGTGGTTTGATATATCTAACACATTCTGTTCCTTCATTTCAGAGTCCGCAGAGATCTGGGTATAGTATGGGAGGTTACATAGGTTTTCATTAATGATCAAGGGGTGGGCTCTGGTGGGTTTGAGCCCACCCAAAAAAAGTGGGTTACAGATTGGAGTAGCATCATCAGAACTCGCAGACCTTCTACCTAGTTTTCATTCATGATCCAGGGGTGAGCGAGCCCACCCAAAAAAAATGGGTTATAAATTGGAGCATCATCATCAGAACTGGGCCAGAATGAATTGGCTGGGTTATAGATTTCAAACGGTAAGCCCAATATGCCCCAAATCCAATTCCCTTCTCCTTATAATTTATAAATATAAATATTTATATTGTAATTTATAAATATAAATATTTATCAATGTATGTATTTGTATATTAGACTATGTACACAGCGAGCTCGACATTTGTTTAGGACACACCGAGAGAATTTAGGGATAGAAAGAGAGAGAGAATTTAGGGCTAGAGATAGTTACGCACTATGAAATCCTTCATTCCTCCTCGTCTTTTAATTGCAAAAGCAGAGAAAGCTTCTGGTATGGTTTTTCACTGCTTCCATTTCAGTTAATCCATAATCCAGGGAATTTCTTCATTTTAAATGTTGTTAGATCTGATTAGAACTCAATTGGTGACTATTTTTGTAATTTGATTGAGATTTAAATTCTGTATGTGTGTAGAATTTAAATGGTGTCCAAAAGGAAAAGCACAGAGTAGTTTTAGGGCAGTGAAATCATTCTTCATTCCTCCTGGTCTTCCAAAAGCAAAGGCACAGAAATCATCTGGTATGTTTTAGTTAATCTAATCTATTTTAGTTGTTCAGCATGTTTCACATTTTGCCTTGGTATTTTATGATTTTTTCTTCTTTTTTTTTTCACTGCTTTTGAATGTTAATGGCCTGGGAAGGTGTTATTACCCTTTTTTAGTCTCTTAGGAACAATTAACTTTTTATTTCTTAGTTTTATATCAATCTATACAGATGTTTTGAAAATGATATTTTGCTTGGCTGTATTGTCACAATACACAAGGTGGTTTTGGGTATGTGCGCAGAGGAGTCCTTCTAGTTGCAGTTAAGTTCACTTTTCCCAAATGTTTATAGTACTTCCTTACCCAATGTTGGTCATATTTAGAGCTCATTAGTTCTTCATTTAAGCATTGACCCTGAAACAGCCATGGCAAATTTGCATCAATGTATTAATAGGACCTAAAATGAAACAGATCTTGATGTAAAGAGGATTAAAGGAAGAAGATTACTTAGAATTTTTAGGTGGCTTATAGCTTCGAAATAAAGATCATTTTTCCCAAATGTTTATAGGCCTACCATCGACCATGTTAACCAGCTCGAGGTTGTTTCTTGGCCAGCAATGTAGAACAGTGTGAATTCTTCTTTCACTCTTCAATTGTCAATCCATTTGTAATTCGTTTCATTGCTATTTGCATTATATGGTGAATTGTCCCGGTGATCTTCAAGAGCTGGCCTAGTAAGTCATCAGCTAGTATTTGTACCTCCTTTTGGAGTTCAAGGATCTTCTTTTCTTCTTCATAGATGCTCCCAAAATGCTGCTTTAACAGCTTCTCTAGATGTTTTGATATATGGTAAAGTTCTCCATTCACTTGAGTTTGATTGATTGATGGATAACAAATTTAAGACCTTACGCTTAATATAGAAAATGTTATGGCATAATTGGCATTATCTTTTTGTTATATTTAACTATACGTTTGGTAAATTAAATTTCAACAATTAATTAAATAAAAAAGTAATGCCCATTCTCTAGAAAATTACTACTTTTCAAGAACTCTAGAAAATGAAATTGACTCAAGGACTCGCACAATCCCTTGGAGGACTCATATGACTACCATATTCAAGTACTTGAGGGCGTGTTGGTTTGATCTTCTACCCTTGTGACCATACAACCAACAAGTATAAGTCATGTTAAATCATGTGGAGTGATATACAATTCCCTGTTGTTTGATCTTTGGGAATTCTGAATTGAGTCAAGGCATTTGCCCTAGTTAATACATGTTTATTTGTATGTTTTGCAGGCCAAGCTCACGGGAAGCTAAAGACAAATAGTGAATCTGGGAAGTAAGTAGTTGACTACAAATTACAAAATTGATGTTTTTTGATGTTAATAGCTCGAAAATAATCAATGGATATTTCAAATTATTTTTGCTATTGGTCCGGAGAACCTTATCATCAGTACCAACTAGTGTCATCACTAACTGATAAATCTACTATCACAATTACTGACTTAGCCTTTTCTAAAGTTTGGTTAAGGAATTAAATACCAAAGTAACACTCAGTTTACATTGTATCTGAATGATGGTGTATGATGGTTGACACTATATCTGAACATGTTAAGTTCTTTCAAAATTTCACAGTCACCGTCATACTTGAAGGGGCGCATTAGATGATTTAAAATTAACCCTAAATTTTCCCTGAGGCTCATTTGTGAAAGAGAGTGTAGAAGCTGACGAAGCGGCATTTCTTGAGTGTTTACATGTCTTGATATCCCTTATGCTTTTCAAGTTCCGAAACCTTTTCCGATAACAGCTCCACTCTTCCTTAATTGTACTTACATTACAACCAGAAATTTCATAATTTCTTATGAAATTTCTCTTTTTAGATCTTGTACTAAGGTACCACGTAACTAAAGCCAAGATGAGTTGGTTACCCACCCCCGTTGAGGTCAAAAGCACTCTCGGAGTACGCTCTGCTGACTCTTTAAAACCGTTTAAATGCGACCTTTCCTCAGTTGAATCAGTCTATGCTAATCTGTAAAGCTAGCCCTCAAATAGGTAGGGATCTGAGTTCTTCGTTCTGGTCCCGCTATTCATAACTTTTAGTTATGAATACAGGTATAGAAACTGAACCCCCTCTTGGGAGGGGAAGAACGGCTGGAAACTGCTGCTAATACCCACAAAGTTAAGGAGCAACAACCGGCCAAGTCAATTTCATAAAAATGAGAAGGTGATTTGACTGAATGCTCCTGGCCCTTTTATAATTAAACAAATTTTTTTTTAATAACATTGAATTGAATGAATGGCCGACCTAGATGGTTGTCTAGACTCTAGATGGTCGGGCCAGATTGAATCGGCAGTAAGGTCTAGCTATACCTGAGATGGTGTAGATCTACTGTTGGGAGAGAGTGATTATGGTAATTGGCTTAAATTTTTAAATAACCTTTTATAACAAATTTATGGAGGACCTATTAAACATTATATTAAGTGTTAATGGTGGGAAATTATATATCTTCTGTTGTAGAATTCTGATGTGGCCAGTTCATTTTATCCTTTTATGCATAGAATGCTTATTGGACAGACACAATTTAAGGTTATCAATACTAAGTATTAGGGTCCATATTGATTAATACTTGAATTGAAATGATTAATGATTATCTCTTTTGAAAGTGCTACATAAATTGTATAATAATATAAAAAACTAAAATAAAGAGACCTATAACGCACACTTCCTTCATCCAGATTATTGACAATGGGTTTTCTTTGCGCTTGGGTGAATTGAACTTGGATATAAGCAGTAATTGTAGGAATATATGTGTCTTTTCCTGACGTTAAGGGAAGTTGGGTAGTGTTAGGACATGTTTCTGATAAGCAGACAAAAATAGTGGGAGACATCATTTGGCTCCTCCTCTCTCTCACTCAATAGATGTGTCTTTTACTAGCCCCGCATTTTTTGCAAGAGATTACTAAAAGAGGGTTCCTCACTCGGTATTGCATGGGGGAGTGAAAACAGCTTCCTCTGGGAGTGAATTCGTGATAAGACAATGGTGAAGGATATGCTGGATTGCGAAATTTCCTCTCTGGGTAACTTAAGAAATGCCGAAAACATTTTCCAAATAGTTGAACCCCCCTTAAGTACAGGTTCCTGTTTTTCTGGTCGGTAAAATACTAGAAGAGACTCAGGTTCTCTTACTAATTTATTGACTTGTTGGATACACGATGATGACCTTGGGATGCATCTAATAAATTAAGGCACCACTAACTAGAATTAGTTACCTTAACCGTGCTCGCTGTAGCACTCACATCATTTTGTCAGAATAGATCCTCGATGAAAGGTCCTCTAGAAAGCCGTTGCTCGATGGATTTTGAATCCAAATGGACGAAATTACCAACAGACCGGTGGCCTAGCGGTACTAAGCCCCTACTTCTTAAAGAGAGGTCAAGGTTCGAGCCTCAGTGGAGGCACGTGTATGTGAGTACCAACTAGGGGGAAAAAGAAAAGAAAAGAAAGGACGAAATTGACCAAGCAATTTCTTCAAATCCTGCAGTACTCTTCATTCCTACTGCCCTAAATCGTCCAAATAGAAATCTCAAAATAGGTGACCCTTTATTAAGCGCATCCTGGAGTTTCACCAAGAGACATCCAGAACCTCCGCCAGTCTATTACACTTTCGGATTGTATAAACATCAATCCAATCCTTCGCACGTCCGAGTGCTGACTCATTTTCATATAAACTTTGTAACGCTGTAAAGGACTTTACAACTGAGAATTAGTTTCCACTCTTTGCGCTCATCTATCTCGTAGTCGGAGGATGATAAATGAGGAAAATGCTCTTAACTGCTAAGAGGCATTGTTTTTTCAAACTGTTTAAAGTCAGAGTCTGAGCTGAGTTCTAGTTCGGTCAAGACATGGTTCAGGCTTGTGAAGTAGAACTGAAAGCAGTACGAAAGCTGTCTTGGAGCAAAGCAAGAAAGCTTCTTCAGGCACAGTGCTTGTTATAAAGTACTACTAATATATAGTATATAGGACTAATGGCCTTGCACCACTAAACATACCAATGGTCACCACCAAAGACAAGTAGTCCAAACTTGAGGAATAAAAAGTGGCTCAATCCTCCGCAATCTGAATCTCTTTCTGCATCCATTATAATTCGTTAAAATAGATATATCTGATCAACCTGTCGTGAAAGACTTACCTGGGAACTCACTTCCTCTTCCCATGTCCCTAATATCCTTTCTTATTAATGTACCTAAGAACTATAGGAAGGGGGTCCTCGTACGGAATCGCACACTGACTTTTCTTTATCTTGCTTCAGCTATCAGTTTCCCTCTACGTCCCTGGTGTCCACTCTCTGCAAGAAGCTAATCTTCCCCTGTTAGGTTTTCTTCTACTGAATATTACTGGTCTTGTAGTGTGAGCATCTTGCGTTTTGGGAAAGGAGCAGTTTATGCTTTATTAGCTACCGTTTCACTGGCTCTAGTAATGATTCACTATAATGTAAACTGAAGATTAAAACTTGACCTCCCCTGATACGGGGATGACTAGTGCTCAACTTGCTAATTGAACATCTAATTTCATCTCAGTTGTCTCAGCTTCATTACTAGTGGTCTCCTGAGCCAGCAATCATCATACTTGAAGTCCTCCTTCATTCATCGTCTTCCAAAAGCCTCTGGTATGGTTTTTCACTATTTCCATTTTATTTAATCTATTTTAGTTGTTGAATAAATTGCTATATTTTAGTTGTTCAGCAGTGTTTCACATTTCATCTGTTTCAGAATATTAATTTTGAACTTTGGGAATTCTGACTTGTGTCAAGGCACTTGCCCTAGTTTATACGTGTTTTAAATATTGAAACATGGCCTTATTCTGGGAAAATATGTACATATTACGAAACATTTGATTTTATTTAGTCTGATTTCAATGTATCTATCATTGGTAATATTACGGAACATTTGAATTTATTTAGTCTTATTTCACCTTTGTCATGTATGTTTTGCAGGCCAAGCTCACATAAAGCTCAAGAGAAATTGTGCATCAGTTCTTTATGGGAAGTAAGTTCATTGATAATCTAATTACATTAATTTCATGTTGTGAAGCCACAAAGTGGTGCCTAGTGTCCAACCTGCTAATTGAACATCTAATTTCATCTCAATTGTCTTAGCTTCATGACTGGTGGCCTCCTGAGCCAGCGACCGTCATACTTGAAGTCCTCCTTTCCTCGTAGTCTTCAAATAGCAAAAGCACATATAGCATCTGGTATAATTTCTTCTAATTTTGCTGTTGTATAATTCAAAAACATACATTGGGTGACATTCATATGTTTTAAATGAAGTATTTGAGAAAATAAAAAATAAAAAATGTTTGAAAATTACCCTAAACCTCAAAGTTATGAATACGTTCCAAAACCTTTTGCATTTCTATTTGATCTTGAAAAATCCATCTTTCAGAAAAACAATTACCTTCTTGCTCCAATGTCTATGAACAAACCCTTTGAAAAAGGGGAAATAGGGTTTCCACCCATTACATAGCGAACAATGGAATTGTTCGAAAATTCTCAACCTCCTTGGACAATTTATTTTCCTTATTGAATTATTTACTGTAATAAATATTAACAAATATGTTTGTAGATAAATACATACATATACAAATGATTCGATTTTTTTAACTATTTATATATGATTGATATGCATTTCATTTTGAGCTGGCTAGAAGATTTTAACCCTATGTGGTTTGAAAACAATTGCATTATATTTTGTGTGTTAATTTCTTTAAATGGTTTGCGTTGTTAATTTAATTAGATTTTTTTTTAAAGAAAATTTCTTGTATATTAGATATACTATCTAGTGAAACTGACTTTCGTGGTTAAAAAACAGAGATTTGGAAGACCTCCTATTTTCTTGGTTCCCCTAAGCTCTTTGGATCGGTAAGGATTCACTAATTTGAGTTTTATATAAATATATTTAGGGTAAACTACAATGATCGGTTTGGCCTAATTGGAAATAAACTCGAGGTTTCCATTTTTTTTGCAACATGTCCCCCCTGAGGTTTGCCCCATTTTGCAAAGACCTCCCCACCGTACAAAAAAATGTACTTTGTGTCAGAAAATTTGGTTGAAGTGACTAAAATGCCCATCAACTAAGTATAAAAGACTTTATTAACTTTATAGTTTCATCAAATAACAAAAAAAATCATGCATTAGTTGACCAAATTACCCCTTATATATAAATGAGACTAAAGCATGAAATTAAACTCAAATGCAAATCCAAATAGGTTTATCGTTCACATACATATATATGTATACACACATACATTATATATAAACATATATAATATATGCAAATAATTTTATTAAAATGTAATTAGAATAGTTAAAGTATAAATAAAATATATTTAAGAGACACGTTTGATGTTAAGAAAAGATCTCTTGCAGGAAGGTTGGCTAGAGATTTCTTGTAAAAACACTAGCCCTGCTCAGTTCATAATGAGAATATCTCCTGTAGCTGGATCCTCCGGAACCACAAGAATCCTTAGTTAGAATGGGATTCCAACTCAGCACCTTGGTTGATCGTATATTTCATTATAGGTCTATGATTCAGAGTATCCTTTCTTATTTGATCCCTTTGAATTCCATATTCGAAGTTGCGATCGGATCTATTCATTAAAAATTTTATTGCCTTGGATGTCGCCTGCTTTGTCGAATTATATCAAGATTTCACTCCTACAATTACTTATTCGTTGAGAAAATAATCTATGGGAACGGATAATTGATGGAATTACGAATGGGGTTGGTATTATGAGTTTCTTTGTAGGAGAAGGCATCAAATATATAGGAGGGGGGCGCATTTCTTCTTATCTCTTCTACTTGATTCAAATGGTTCTCGCCGGCTTACACGAATCACAAGCGATTTTTCAAACCAGAAGGGGTATTTATTTTCTTCTATATATTAATTATATTTAATTAAAACGATATTTATTTTTTGAAACAAATGTATAATAAATTGATAACAACCATCTATTTTTCCTAATTCAGCTCATTTCTGAAACTAATATACGCTATGTATATTTTATTTATTGTGTAACACATTAAAGACGATACAATATATATTGTATAATATTATAAGCATTTATGGGAAATGAACCCAGCAATACCCATAAGCAATAATAAAAAATAAAAAAAATCAGAATATGCATAAATGAACCCGTCATCTGTAAGACACCCAATCTCAAAACACAAATACAGGAGACACTGAAAGCAGTTTAAACCCCAATTAAAAATGGCATTTTAATATTTCACATTTTCTTATTTAGGGGTTTTATAAAAATCCTAATTGGGGAAAAAAATTCTAATTTTCATCTTCAACCAGGCTGAAACTAGAAACGGTTGTAATCATTGGAAAAGAGTTAATTTCTTTAAATCACGATATCAATATTTGATTTTACCAAATGATTGTTGGTGGTGGTGGTAGGAGGTTGAGAGGGGTGATGATTGGGGGATGGGGTAGGCAGTTGACAAATGGCGGCCTCCTCCCCACTTAGAAAATTGAAGCTTCAGTGATGACCCTGGAAGAAGATGGTCCTGACTCTTGAGGTATGGGGTTTACTTGGACCGAATCAGACCGGGTCTGTGTCGGAAGAACAATTTGAGCAGTAATGCTACGCCGATCTGAGGCTGCCGATTGTGAATCTTCCTCCACCAACGTCATCGTCATCTCCGCCATTAACACCAAGATGCTTAACATGAACCCGCTTTGAGATATAAATTTCCATACATATATATATGGGTGTGTGTGTCTGTATATATATATTTATCTTGTGATCTAGTTGGGATTCAAACATGAAAATAGGTCTTGTGGGGAGAGATGGTGGTGGTAAGAGGTTGAGTGCTAGTGGCGATTGGGGGTGGGGTAGGCGACTGAAGAGAAAAGAGAGAACGATTGGAGGAAGAAAAAGGAAAAAAATTTGTGGTTGCAAGTATAGGAGTAAAACAGTCATTTCACACACTGAAATATTTTTAATAATATAATAATGAGGGTAAATAAGTAAATTCACAGTAAATTTTGACACTGGTCTTTGCAAAGAAATGACAAATCTCAGGTTCAGTTGCAATTAGACCAAACCTCAGCGGACGTCATTGTCGTTTACCCATATATATATATATATATATATATATATATATATATATATATAATTTTTTTATGATTTTTTTTTTTTTTTTTGAAAAAATTGTAGGTCAATCAATTTTTTCGGACGCTCACCCCCTCGTCTTCCCTACTGCTGACCAATTCAAGAGGTAGTTTGCAAATTATTATTATTATTATTTTGTGTTACTGATTATGCACGTCTTTTTGAATGTGAATAAATTGCTTCCTTTGAAGTTATTTTGAAAGCATTGAGTTGCATTATTGATAAATTAAATTATTGCATAATTTTTTTTCCTAAATGAAGGGAAAAAATATTATAAATAACTTGTTATGACAAACGCAACGAATCCAAGTTGAACAAAGAATCACGACAGAAAAGTAAACACGCCACACAGAAGAAGATACAAATTTATACGTGGTTTGGCAACAACCTACGTCCACGGTTGGGATCCGGCGAAAGTTTTCACTGTGTTTTAAATCGGGGATTACTAGTTTTCAGCCCTTCACTCTATTTCTGTACGAATTTCAGTCTCTCTCTAGCCCCACTCCAAACCCTAAGCGCCCTTATATATTGGGCTACAAGAGACTAATTAGGGTCCACGACCAATAAGCAAAAATGGGTCAAAATATCACAAATCTCCACCTTGGCTCGAATTACGCCAAGCTCCACAATCTCTAGCTTTTCCTTTCGCCGCCTCCACATGCCCCTTAAGGGCCTCAGCAACTACAAGTACTAATCAAGTCCTGACAGTATTTGAACTTGTGTGTAGGAATGACCTTAGTCATCATATCTTCCGGATTCTCTACTCTCCAATATTCCTCACTACAATAGCACCTTGTGCAACCACATCTCTGATGAAGTGAAACCTGACATCAATGTATCAATGTGCTTGTACCTCTCATGGAACATTTGATAAAATCAAATGTATAGTACTCTGGCTGTCGCAAAATATAGTCAAATCATTCTGCTGCAAGCGCAGATCACCAACCAAGCCTCTCAACTGTATAGCTTCCTTCACTGCCTTTGTAGATGCCATGTATTCAGCCTCAGTAGTAGATAATGCAACTACGGGCTGCAAAGTCGCCTTCTAACTGATCACACTCCCACAAAGAGTGAAGACATACCCTGTCAAGACCTCCTCCTATGAAGATCTCCAGCATAATCCGAATCAACATATTCAGTAACACTCCCACACGTGTCACTTCCTCTGTCGTAGACTAACCCAACATCTGCACTGCCTTGCAAGTATCGTAATATCCATTTCACAGCTTGCCAATGGACCTTCCCTGGTTTATCCATGTATCTGCTCACTATACTAACTGCATGTGAAATGTCTAGCCTAGTGCACGCCATAGCATACATAAGCATACCAACTGCATTAGCACAAGGAACACAAGACGTGCTCCACCTCCTCCTCCTCCTCGGTCTATGGTGACAATCGAGCTGAAAGTCTAAAATGGGCAGCCATTGGAGTATTCACAGGTTTTGATGCCTACATATCGAAACGTTCCAGCACCTTCTCAATGTATTTCTTCTGTGAAAAATACAATCTGCCAAAACTTCTTGTGATACAACTGTCAAACTTACTCTTACAGTAGCCATTCCCAACCATAAAGGTGTCAAATTGCTTGTACCACTGTCTAGGAGACTGCTTCAGCCCATACAAGGACTTCTTCCGTAGGCAAACATGATCATCCTTTCCCAATATCTTAAGCCCCTTAGGCTGATGCATATAAATCTGCTCTTCCAACTCACCACTCAAGAAAGCAGTCTTGGCATCAAGCTGCTCAAGCTCCAAGTTATACAGAGCAATCATAGCAAGTAACACCCGGATTGAGCTATATATTTCACCATAGGAGTAAACACTTCATTAAAGCCAACCCTTCCCTTTGTGTATAACCCTTTGCCACTAAGCGTGCCTTGTACCTCGCATCTCCCCTGGAATTCCTTCTTTTTGAAGACCCATTTACAGCCCACAATCTTCTAACCCTTTGGCTTCTTAAGTAGCTCCAAGTCTCTTCTTATGAAGAGACCTCACTCATGGCAACAGACCACTGTGCTGACTCTCCACCTGTGGTGGCCTCATGATAAGTACACGGTTCATCAATATCCTCTGCCACACTAAGTGCATAAGTAACCAAATCAACCCCTCCTAGGCCTGTCTCTAACCACACTATTGCTGCAATTGTGCATCTCCTTGAGCCCGAAACTTCACCTGCTTGTGAGTCGACTGAACAGGACTATCCTTTAATTGAACCTCTACATGTTCCACCTGCTCATTAACACCCTGAGCTTTCCCTGAATCAACTACCTCCTTTTGCGGAGTAAGCATCGCAGACTCATTAATGGTCACATCCCTACTAACAAAGTATATTCTTTCCTGTAGCCTCTGGGCACCATAATCATATTCTCAGATTACTGTAACTAGCAGGAGAACCAAACCATACCTCCTATGGAGTCTTACAGTCGATGGAGATCGGTTCACTGAGGAACTAGCTGTAGAACAACTTCAGCCCAAATGTCTAACCCTGCATTTGACAACATACACTGTGCCCTCTCCAATAGCGTTCTGTTCATCCGTTTTGCAACTCCATTCTGCTACGGAGTCTTCCTCAGTGTGTGATGTCTCACAATCCCGCGAGTCTTGCAAAACTCATTAAATTCTCCATCACAAAATTCCAAGCCATTGCCTGTCCTCAAGCACTTGACCTGTTTTCCCGTCTGCTTCTCAATCAAGGTCTTCCACTGCTTGAATGTAACAAAAGCGTCATTCTTATGCTTCAGAATATAAACCCGAACTTTCCGAGAAAAGTCATCAATCAACGTCATCATATATCTACCTCAACCATGTGAAGTAACCTGAGCGGGACCCCAAAGATCAGAATGAATATAATCCATCATACCCTTGCTCGTGTGAAATTCCTGTACTGAACTTCACTCTGCACTGCTTCCTGAAGACACAGTGCTCACAAAAATCCAGCTTCCCGGTTTTCTAACTCAGAACATCCATCCCCCTCACTCATATGCCTAAGCTGCATATGCCACAATCTGGTAGTATATGAATCCAGATCCGAGGACGATATAACAACTGAACAATTGATTGTGATATCGTGTAAAGCATGTAAACGATGCTTCTTCAATCCCTTCATCGCCACAAGATCTCCCTTGGAAACCCGAATGACTCAACCTCTAGCCTTACAACTGTACCCGATGGAATCCAGCGTACCCAGAGAAATCAAATTCTTTCTCAATTCTGGTACATACCTGGCATCAATTAGTGTCCTCACTATGCCATCATATATCTTGATTCAAACTGTAGCGATACGTACAACCTTGCATGTTGCATCGTTCCCCATCTGAACTTCTCCTCCAATAGATCGATAAGAGGTAAACTAGTCCCTATTTGGACGAGCATGAAACGAGCAACCCGAATCAAGAATCCGCTCATCTGAATCATTACTCTCTGCAACAGCCACATTTTCAATTTAAGAGGATTTTTCCTTTCCCTTCTTACACTCCGGACAATCCTTTTTGAAGTGCCCGCCCTTGTGACAGATGAAGCATCTCAACACCTTCGTTTTGTTCTTTAGACTTGGAACTACCTTTGCTGGTAGATCCTCTCTTCTGATTCGTTCTCCCTCTATCAAATAATCCCTTTGCCCGAACTTTTTGTATTGCTCTCAAACGCCCTTATCTGTAACTCCTCAGAATTCAGAACTGCCTTCACGTCTTCCGCGGACAAAGCAGTTTTGCCATACATCATTGTATCGACAAAGTTCTTATACAAGGGTGGTAGAGAACACAATAGAATAATAGCCTGATCTTCATCCTCTATCTTGACATCAATATTATTCAAGTCCATGATAATACTATTTACCTTGTCAAGATGGTCTTTCAGAGACGAACCTTCGTGCATCTGAACTTCTAAAGAGTGAACAACCGCTTATTTAGATACTAGTGATTCGCAAGAGATTCCATCATATACTGGGACTTTAACTTTTGGCACAGCCCATCCGTCGTAGTCTCTCCAGCAACTTATCACAAAACCTTGTTACTTAAGCACAACAAAATCGTACTGTGTGCTTTCTCCATAACCTCATCTTTATCCTTGATCTTTTCTGGCAGTGCACCCTTCCCCTTCAGCGTCTAAGATAACCCTTGTTGAACCAACAAAGCCTTTATCCTAACCTGCCACAAGCCTTGTTGAAATCGTTTTTGCTGTTAGACTTCTAGATTTCCAGAAACTTGGACAATATCCCTGCTTCGAACCGAAAGTTCTGATACCAGTTTGTTATGACAAACTCAACAAACCCAAGTTGAACCAAGAATCACGATAGAAATGTAAACACGCCACACAAAGAACACAAAAATTTATACATGGTTCGGCAACAGCCTATGTCCACGGTTGGAATCTGGCGAAAGTTTTTACTATGTGTAAAATTGGAGATTACAAGTTTTTCAGCCCCTCGCTCCGTCTCTGTACCAATTTCAGTCTCTCTCTTGCACCACTCCAAACCCTAAGCGCCTTTTTATATTGGGCTACAAGAGACTAATTAGGGTCCACAACCTATGAGGAAAAAACGGATCAAAAATTTTTCGCATGTCGCACCAAATTCGGGCCACAATATCACATAATCAATAAGGTACAATTACAAGAATGAGGAAAAAACCTCACCACACCAGGACACTAACGGAGTCATGACAATAGAAAAGGACAGGCCTCGAACACAGCATGCACATCCCAAACTATACACCTAATCAAAACAGAAGGACTTCTATTAGGAGTATCATGAGTTCTGCAGTTTCTCTCATTCCAAATGAAGTATAGAGTTTCGCTGTAAAGATCATTCTTTGCACGTTGTGCTTGATATTCTTGCCAGCCACTTGAAACATGCTAGCCAATTGCTAAACAGATTCTGAGACCAGAAACTTCCACTAGAACAGCTCCACAAGTTCAGACCACAGCTGCTTTGTATAGCTACGTTGACAAAACAAATGGTCCAGACTTTCAACTTGCTTGAAACACAAATAGCAAACTGTAACGGGGTGTTGCCTGTCCTCTGCAGGGCAGTACGAGTCAGTATGGCATTCTGTAGAACCCACACAGAATGTAATCTCCGAATAATAATGAATAACATCCTGCATCTTCTTACACTAGGACTACAAGACACGTGCCGCAAAGATGCTCAACAATTGCATTGACCAAAATACCCCTGCAAGGGAAACTAGTCAATATATATCGTCTTCTGTAGCTGTGATTGTGAACACTTGATCAAACTGTGAATAGGAGCAATTTAATACAATGTACTATCACAAACAAGTGTATTATGATATAATACAAGTGTGAAAAGACTTAGGTGCCCCTGAAAGACTTTAGCCAAATATCAACTTCTATACGAGGGCCATTTGAACCGTAATTGGCTTGCAGTGTGAACTGGCAACACAATGTACCTTTCTTAGGCCATTTGAACAGTCTTAACCATATGGAATGACCAAGCTGCCCTTGTAGATCAATATAATGAATCACTTGAAACCCAATGAAGTGGACCTGTTATAGTCTTTTTGACATTTAAAGGGCAAACCCTAATTCAAAGGTGGGACCAACAGAATGGACTGACCACCTAGGTTTGCCACCATTCCAGCAGAGAGTAGCCCAAGAAACATTAGGCATCACTACTCTGCATACCTCCCAAGCTGCCTTGAAGGAAATATTCTGAGATTGCCATAAGAGTTGATCTTGACCACCGTGCACTGTGAATTGTTGGATATAATGCAGCACCTCTTGACCCGGAGAATAAAACTTTGATTGATCCCATTGCTTATCAGTAATGAAATTGCAGAGAAAAGAAGATTTGTCAGTGCCAACCCCTCTCAACAATCTGTAATTTAATTTCTGGGCTAGAAGCATTCCATCATAATTGAAATAAATGTGTTGCATATATATGTTCAACAAAATGCCAGTGGAAAATTTTTGTATTAGAGAGCATCTGGTGGTGAGAGAGCCTAGACCAGGCTTAGCAGTGTATATAAATTGATTAGAGATAACTCTAAAGTCAATACATTAATTAACCAGAGAGTAGATAACAAACTGCCCATGCCACTGTAGAAATTCTCATATATTGATAGTATGGGAACCCATGTCTATTGTCTGTACTACTACATGACCGTGTGGACTGACCACCTAGGTCTGCCACCATTCCAGCATAGAGTAGCCCAAGAAACATTAGGCATCACCACTCTGTATGCCTCCCAAGCTTTCTTGAAGGAAATATTCTGACATTGCCACGGGAGTTGATCTTGACCAACATGCACTGTGAATTGTTGGATATAAAGCAGCGCCTCTTGACCCGGAGAATTAAACTTTGATTGATCCCATTGCTTATCAGTAATGAAATTGCAGAGAAAAGATTTGTCAGTGCTAACCCCTCTCAAGTCTCAACAATCCGTAATTGAATTTCTGGGCTAGAAACATTCTATCATAATTGAAATAAATGTGTTGCATATATATGTTCAACAAAATGCCACTGAAAAAAATTTGTATTAGAGAGCATCTGGTGGTGAGTGAGAGAGAGAGTCTAGACCAGGCTTAGCAGGGTATAATTGATTAGGGATAACTCTAAAGTCAGAACATACATTAATTAACCAAAGAGTAGATAACAAACTGCCAGTGCCACTGTAGATATTCTCATATATAGATAGTATTGGAACAAACGCATGTCTATTGTATGTACTACTGCATGACCATGTTGATTTTTATACTTTTATTTTATATAATTGCTTTGTCCTTCTCTAACTACTGATTTTTTTCCCCTTGTTATTGCTCTTTCCTGTTCATGTGTTAGGACATCTACTTTGCGGGAATCATTGGACACAATTCTGCTGCTTGTATAGTAGTTATGTGAGTATATATATATTCAATTTGATTACTGTAGTAGATTAATATATTACTGTTACTTAACTTGGGTGTATTTTTTTAGACCATCTATGATCTCTTCTACATAGACGGGCACCGTGAGATTTTATCGCGAATGAATCTACTGCTGCGTCATTTACCTACCAAACCAGTGGAGGGTCATAAGTAATTGACTCCCCATGACTATATGAATTGGGTCTTGGCCATTAACCAAGATGCCAGGGCAATTCACAGTAGCGGTCCCCGTGGTTACCCCAGAGATTTAATTTTCAAGTTTCTCAAAGAAAATGACCGCATTCGTATTGTGGAATATGCTCCGGTGAGATACTACCTGAAATATGCGGTGAAAATAAAGTATTGGAAACCCCCTCCATTTGGTGTGACCCATATATATACCGATGGGTCATGTTTTAAAAGAAGGGGAGCCTGGTCTGCAGTGGCCCGAAATTGGTTGGGAGATATTAAGTATATTAAAAGAAGCCCACTGAATAGAATATCTGGGCCAGAAGTAGCAGAAGCTATCGGTTTCCTAAATGGTGTGAAAATGGGTAGAGCCCTGAAGGTTAAGAATTTTAAGATCTATAATGACTGCTTGCAATTGATTAATGCTCTGAAGGGTAGTACTATAAATATCGGGCTTTTCGGGACAGATCCTTACCTTCAATCCCTAATCAGGTATACATATCACTTCACGTATTTGAATTAAAAATTACATTTTTTTCACCCACATAATAGTTTATTATATGTTTGTCAATGCAGGAGAATTGTAAGAGAAATTGATGCTTTAAAGAAATCTGGCATAAAAGTCGACTTCGACCATTGTGGAAGGGAGTTGAATGAAGTCGCCAATTATATTGCTATCTCAACAAGGAAGAGGCAGTACAACGAAGAGATAGCAAAAGCTATCGCCAAGGACGACCTGACAGTCCCAAGGTTTAAAGTGGAGTATTAGATGTAGAGTTTAAGCTTTAACCCTTTAATGCTATGTAGAAAAGAATCATCTTATGTAAGTAAATTGTTATGGAATTTGTAGTAGGTTTCACAATTGTGTTTTTTGGAAAGAAAACTACTTCACCGGAATTGAGTGCGGGCTAATGGCTTGCTCACCGGAATTGAGTGCGCGGGCAAGCTTTGTTAGGCTGCTTGCTATCTTGGCGAATGCCATGCTGTAATTTTTCTCAATCTATACAGCACTTCTTACGACTATATTTTTAAATATTCAAAGTGATCAACAAGTTCAAGAAACAATGTTAGGATCATCACTGTTAAACAAGTTTGGATTGCGAACACAATCCAAATGGTTAAAAAGCATTTTGTAGGGCCTGTATCCTAGTTGATTATTTGTGGAATTGGTCAACGGACTGCAAATGTCATGCCGCCCCTAAAACCTAAAATTGCAGCACAATTAAGATTTGTTTTCCCAGGGCCAAGTTAGTTACCCCTCCATGTTTATTTTATTTATTTATTTATTTATTTTGTGGGATCATTTGCAAGTAACACACACCCATTTATTTATTTTGCTTATTTGGAGACTTGAACGCTTACCGTTCATTTTGCATTTTGGGAGGTAGAGAGGAGATATCATTGGGCTGTAAGTTACTTAACCCTTGGTTGCAACACAATTATGAAATTCTCATTAAAAAAAAACAAAGAATATGAAAGTGGCAAAAGTGTGAGCAAGTGGCATAACAAACATAGAAGGTAAATTACTTAAAAGTTTATAGTGACATATAAATAATAAAAATGATGTAATTCAAAGTTTACACATTGTTAGACAACATGTACAATATGAGATTATATTCTGCCCCTGCCCAAACTGATTTGAGAGAATTCATTTGCTTTAATAAGTTGTGAATTTAATGGGAAAATTAAATATAGTCTGGAAACACACTAGAGTAGAACCATTAGCACAGGGAAATAATCTGGAGGTTCTGCAACCAACTTCATGCCTACCAAAGAAAGAAGTTGCTATTTTAACAGGAGCTATAAACATCTTTTAAGCATGGCCTGATTATATGCTCAGTTTAATCTCTCTAACTTGACGGCTAGCCTCTACTTTGATCGCATTAATTATCAGTTTCCGAAAGGAGCAAAATCTGCTTCCTCTCTAGTATCTTAATTAGTAGCATATACAAATCTAGTTTTGTGTATCCTAAAGCCACTGTAGATTCATCACGTAAACTGATAAAGTAGAAGGTCGAGAGGGTTCAAGTCTACGTAAGGGCAAGGTGGGGATGCGTGTTTCCTGCCAAAAAAAAAGATCCACCACATATTTTTCATGTAAATAGGATATTGTTTGAAACTAACTCTCAACCAGATGTGTCATTTTTTCTTCACGGATCCACCTTACAATTCAACAGAGGACCTTCTTGTATGGTAAAGTTAAAAAGGGAACCTCTGTTTTCTTACCGAACTCGTTACACAAATTAATCCACCCAAGTCCTTCCCCAACATGTTTAGCATACATGTATTATAGCTTAAATTCAATTTTTTTTGCAGTTGTACACATATTACACAAACATAGATATTTGCAATTTACCTCTTGGTTCAATACATTGTATCTATGTGTATTATCATTGCTTCTACAACATGGTGACATAATCAATCTGGAACTGTGACATTGATAATGCAAATTCCGGATAACAAGTCAAAATTACAAATAAAAAGTAAAGAAATTTACTAGACCTCGGTGACCGTATACTTCTGAATTAGTTGATTGTAAATTAGCATACCCCAATCAGTCAATCAATCTTGCACTTGGACAAGCATTGCACACACATTGATACAACCACATAACTGAGTGCTATCACAGCAAGAAGAAACACTACTGCATAAAATGTCAAACAGCAGAATCAGGACAATAAACCAAAGAAGAAGGAAAAAAAAAAAAAAAAAAAAGCAAGTGCAACAGAAGAAAATGCAGGGTGTCGCTCTTTTTTTTTTTTTGTTTTTTTTATTAGTATAAAATGCAGGGGGTCGCTCATGTAAATCTCTTCACTCAAATGACAAATCAAATTGTGGTGACAAAAAACAACAGAAACTGAACGCCCATCAGGTGAAGATGCTATCAAGTCTTAAAAATATTTAAAGACTAGCAAGTTATTTGTCATTTAAATGAAGGAAGCTGAAATTGTTTCGAAATATTTTTAAGAAAAGGCTAAACAAAAGAGAGAGGGAAGGGGTTCCAGGGTTGGCAACTGCGTTTGGCAGTTTTGCGCATATGGATCCGGGTTCTAATTTAAGTCCTTGCTGTGCTAGAGCATCTGCTTCAGGGCTACCTTTCTCCCACACCCCAATCTCATACATCTTCCTCAATCTCAACTTTGAAACAACATATACAATGGCACACCATCAATTTTCTGTTTCTTTTAAACAGAAAAAGCTTTGCACTTAAAAGCCCTTCCCTGTTTGAAATTATCATCCCATCTCAAATTTCTGATGCCATCTCATTGTACACATAATCATAAAAAAAATGACCTTATTTTTGTCTCTTCAACCTATCTTCCCCGATTTTCTTTAAGTCACTCTATGCTACTTCAAAACCTGAATTTCAAAAGAAGATCTCCCCTCAAAGTCATATAGCCATTTTCTGTTCTTTGCAATCTAACATTTTGAATTATTTATTTTACTTTTGGAATGGGAGGAAGGAAGAGGAGTTATTGAACTGGCATTTTGATAATATTTTGACTAGCACAAATAAGCATTCAAAAGATCACAAAAGCAAATAAAAGAGAGAATTAGTATAAAAGTACTCAATTCCTACTTCCTAGAGAGGGCAAAAAAAACAGAGTTACCATATGTGTTGTTTGGTTGGTTTTTTTTTGGGGTGGGGGTACAAAAACCAAGGTTAGAAAAAAAATAATACAAAGGGCTATTCTTCTCAATTAGACAGATGTTCCATAGTCTCTGCTATTCTTCCACATTATTAGAGTGTCTCATAGTTTACAAGATGATCGACACTTTACATAGAGTAAAGAAGTTTCAGCAAGTTGGCATCTCAAGCAGAATGTATTAAGAAAAAAGAAATAAAAACAAAAGAAAATGCTGCAAATCTGATATAACTTACCAGCTAAAGCAAAAAAGAACAAAATAGCCAAGCGATATCTGACCATCCACGGTAGAGAGACTTCAAGAGAACAGTGTTTCTGAGATCCTCTTGCTTTCCTCGTGGTATTAGAGTCTATTCTTTGGGCTTGGAGTTCCAATAGGGAGATATTCACACTCGTAACAGGCAAATCATTTGCATCTCTCACTTCAACTTTCAAACTCACTGGAGTAGCATCCCAATTTATCACTATTGCTCCAAAATTCGGTTGTCCTAAATGATACCCCACATCATAAGATCAACAATCTTAATGCATTAATATATATATATATATATATATATATATATATATATATATATATATATATTCTGAGAAAGAGGTTACATAAATACTAAGAAAATTACAAGTATACCATATGTGCATGACCTGAATCTGCAACTTTTGTCCATAACTCTCATTGTAGTTGGCGTCAACCATGCCACAAATCTCACTATGAAATGTAATGGGGGTGGGACTGTCTTCTCAACAGCTTGAGTAAGCCCACTTGAGGTTATGTCATACAGGGGATAACCAATAGCACAATCATGTCGTGTAATTTCTCCAAAGTGAACATCTCCGCTTATAAAGAAGACTCCATTTCTCTAAGCAAGAAAGATAAACACATAATGAGCTTTCATAAAACTAAATTAATTTGAATGTGTAACATATAAAACGGTTGATAATCTTCACCTTTGGAGAAGATTATAAAAGGAAAAGAAATTTTTAAAAGAGAGCTCCTGGTGCTTGTGTTTAAAAAAATAAAAGAGATCACCACTGAAAGTTGTTGAATTCAACTGAAAATAAACTTACGCAAGCCATTGAAGTTAGTGAATAAGCAAGATATTATTACCTTACTATCAGATATCAATTTAAAAAGACGATTCCTCTCCTTCGGGAAACGTCCCCAAGACTCCATATAAAACAAAGGGCCGGTAGTTGCTGAAAGATTTGAGATGACCTGAATGAAGGAAAATGCACAATTCTGTATAACAAAGAGACAAACCTCCAGCAAGAGTATAATCTTTTAATAAATTTAGAACCATACTCCGTGTTCCTTTGTGATTTTTGGGCTAAGGTTTTGAAGATATCATGTAACTTTTAGTGGATCTCACTTTTAGAGCTACACATGTTCCAAACTTTTTTAGTGGATAAATTTGATTCAGTGGATCTTTCTCTCTACTGTGCATGAAAGATGCAGAAACTATTGAGCTTTTGGTTTAGAATTAAATGGATTTTACGAAGCAACAAAATACCCAGTTGTTGAGACTTGAGATGATTAAAGAGATGTACAACAAACACCAATCACTACACAAAATGAGGAGTAGTGTCATCATTATCGTCATCATCCTTGCCTTTTTTTTCACAAATGAATGGGATTGACCACATGAATTCTCTTTTTCATACTACTTTATTATACGTCATGTCTCCTCTAAAATTTAATTTTTTTGAAATCATTTTTAATTATTTCATTCCATGCTAGTGTTGATCGGCCTCAATGTCTCTTACCTTCTATGCAAACTAGTTTCCCTTTCTTACGGGCGCGTCAACGAGTGTACATTCTATATGTTCATACCACCAAGTTTGTTTTCTCTTGTTCTGTCACTAATATGGGTTATTCCAAATCTATCCCTCGCACTTTGATTAGTCAATTTATCTTTTCCAGTCACTACTATCATCCACCTCAACATTCTCATTTCAATTACATGAATGCATTCTCATTTCTTTTTTAACGCCCAACACTTTGCCTTATGTAAGATAGCTAGCCTAATGACTATCCTATAAAATTTCTCTTTTGAGTTGTTTGGTTTTCTTCTATCACACAGGATACCACTAACCTGTCTCCCTTTGGTCCATCCTACTCAATCCTACTGGTAATATCATCATCTATTTCTCCTCCCTTTTTTTTTTTTTCCTTTTTTCTTTTTCTTTTGTATTACTGATCCTAAGCATAAACCATGATGATTTTGAGTAAATCTGATGTCTTGGATTGCTATTGTTTTATTATTACTTTCTGAATCTTTATTCAATCTACATTCAATATATTCTACTTTAGACTTACTAATTTTTAACCCTTTTGTTTCTAAAGATAACTCCAAGTTTCTAATTTTGTTCACAAGCCTTCCTTAAAAGTATCCAACAACACTATGTCATCAGCCAACAAAATGCACCATGGGATGCCTTCATGTATATCTTTTGATATTTCATCTAGGACTAGCGTAAATAGGCATGGGCTAAGTACTGAGCTTTTGAGTAGTCCCACTTTTATAGAGAAATTGTTAGTTTCTTCTCATACAGTGCAAAACCTAGTCTTTGTATCCTTAACATATCCTCAATCATAATTATAACATTTAAAGAGATTCGTTTTCTATATAAAGCCCACCAAATTATAAAATGAGTAATATAGTTCACTTTAAACAGCTTCCAAGGAAAAGGTAAGACTTGAGAAGACATGCATTAAATAATGAGATGAATATGAGAAAGGAACTGTGCTTCCCATTTACATGCTGTGTCCCCATTCTTTTTTGCCCCCCTTTTCTGGTGCCCCTCAGTGAAACCTTTTAACTGCTTAGAAAAAAGGTGTGATACACCTAATGGTCCAAAATACATGCAGAATTTATTGCTTCAATTAACAACTTCAAAATGATAATTACTGGGAAATAAAGTTAGCTAAGGGTGCAATATCTTATCCAAAAGCTGATTCAGCAATCCAATATAGGTAAGTTCCCTATAGCTTGTCCCATATCAGTAATAAATGCACCATAACACAAAATTCGTAAACAAATGTATATAAAATTTTACATTTAAACTTGGAACAAAGAATTTCAGTATGATCAGACAACAAATATACATAATACCTGAATAGAAGAACCAATAACAGTAATGGCTGACGGAAGACCATTCAACTCTTTCTCCAACCATGTCCATTGCGAACTCCCCAAAATATTTCCATCGCTGGACAAAGGGTCTCTATGGTATCTAGTATCTAAGAGAATAACCTGGAGAAGTTTATCAACAAGAATTATAACAAATGCATCCATGTATGTAGGTCTCCACCAATGATATATTTCTGATTGAGGTGGACATGTAAGCAATTTAGGGTTTGCCCAAACCAATGTAATGAGTACATTATTATGCCCAAATCCCAAAGCACTGAACTCGTTATATCAGACTACCAAAAAGGTCGGCAATTATAATGAACAAAAGAAGTCCCTTTAGTAGCAGTGTTCAGCTTCATTTTTTCTTTTTATAGAAAGAGAACTAAACTAATTGGTCAACTTCAATCAAAATGAAATAAAAGCAAAGGTACTAAATTGATTGACTTCAATACCTTGATTTGTCTACCCACAGGGCCAAATGTGTATGATGCGTACACACCAGCCTGTTTGCGCCTACAATAATGAAGCCATGAGAAGAAGTTCATCAATACTCGCTACTCAAAAAACGGAAGGAAAAAAAAAAAGGATGGGTTAAGCTAAGTATGAAATCAGTTGTCTCTGATACTCAGACCACCAGTAAATGTTCTCTGCTTTTTGCAAGGAAATGGTTAGGTGTTCATATGTGAATGTTATCTATTTTCGATATATTTAATGTCTCCATAATGAAAGAATTTTTCTTTCCCTTTCTTCTCTCTCTACCAATCTCAGAACCTTGACCTAGGACTTGAGAGTTAAGCCTCAAAGCCACTTAGACAAAGGTAGACCAGTCATAATGAAAGAATTTAGCAATACCCTAACCAGTGTGTTAGCAAAATGAGAGATAAAAGAAATATTAGTAACTCTAAATTGAGAATGATCCCGCACCGTGGACTGTCTTGGGGTTCATCCAAAAAATCAAGTAGAAGCCTTTGGTTTGTAATTTTCCCACCAAATTCTTTTCCTGCATCATTTAGTCCATAATCATGATCATCCCATGTGCCAATTACCTGTAGCGTCCATACATTCTCTGTTAGATAGTATTAGCTGTCTGCAGTGTCACTAAGCACTTACCTGATTCTACAAGTAACATCTAATATTACAAAATAAGAACAAAAACAATAACAACAAAGAATTTTGAGTAAAGCACCTTTGTCATCTTTCTAAGACGAGAGTAACCGTGATTGCTCTTAGCCATCTTATACTTGGACTGCATTTCATGCTCGGAGGAGGGGAAAAACCTTGGAGCATTCTTCCACGGCCCAATTGTTCTTTCCTTCCCAATAAACTTGAAGGGGCGCCTAGTGTCTCCATAAATGTTGTCACCCAGCCAAATAAAAACTTGGGGCTCAAAGTTGATTATTGCATTCCAAATAGGCTGCAGACATCCACCAATTTTCAGCAACTTTGGGAAACAATTTGGACTTCATTACATGTACTCTAACTAAAAGACCATTCAATCAAGATCAAATACATAAGTAGCCAAAATATAGATATACGTAAACAAAAAATACACAAATGCATGCACATTGGTAGACAAGAAAATGAGAAAAGTTATTAAAAAAAAAAATTTGCATGTGCCTAAATGGTGAAAAAATCTATACATGTAGTAAACGTAATTTCATACCCATATATGGCATGACACAGACACCTCAACAAAACAAAGCTCAAGAAAAGGAAACAAAGCAGGACACAACAATACAACAACAATATCTCTAGGTAAATATTATATTTCTAGTTTAAACACTGAATCTAGCAAGTGACTGAAGTCACTTAGGTGAATGCATGTATAGAGATGGGTACAATTGCCAATTGCAATTAAACTGAAATGGAATGGTTTTGGGTGGGATTGCTTGGACTTGGAGTTATTTGACCTCCACTGTGCATGTATCCTCGCATTTGCTTCTGTATTGTTCACTGTTTCTTAAGAAAATATTGGATATACAGGGGGAGCCTTTTTTCTTTTCTTTTTTTGAGAGATTTTCATCCTGAAAATATAAGCTCTTATGAAACCATTTTACAGATCCTGCAGAATTTCATGTCCACTGCTCTCTCTATATATATTGAAATTTTAAAAATAATAAATAAATAAAAGAACATACTTTGGAGTTTAGGATTATATAAGTCATGGTTTACTAATAATTCCAAGGGCGTCCCGACAAAATAATTGAGGGCGGGAAAAAGAAAATGAAAAGGAGAAATGACAAATAAAAAAACCGAATTAGAAGGAAAAAAAACACACGCACACACAATAATTCAATAGGCGAGTGCAAGAAAAAAGACGAAAGAAAAAACAGAAGGAACCCTAATATAGTTACAAGGATCAAAAACCTGGGGAGCACTTTGGTCAGCGCATGATCCAAAGGCAATTCGGGAAACTAGAGGCTCGTCAGAAGCGCGGCAGGCAAGTAGCAAAGCCGTGGCGGCGACGCCTCCGACGACAATTAACCACCGCAAAACCACCGCCGCCGCCATTGTACGCATTGAAGGATCAGCACAGCAATTTCGGTTGTAGAAATTACAAGTATATTTTTGTGTTTCTAAGCGAAATGGGTTGTATTTGGGTTGATAATACAGTAACAGTTCCTAACAACTAAAAGGGACTTTGGTCCAGGAATCGAATAGTAATAAGAATCAAAAGGCTTTTTGTCAAGAAAAGTGTAGCGTGAATCAGAAGCTGCTCCGTCTTGATCAGTTCATCATGTAGTGTATAAAGTGAACCAAATTGGCAACAATTTTTTAAAGTGAACCTCACTCGCACGAGTCCGGTTGGGTTTAAAGGGAACCAAATTGGCAATTTTTTAAAATTGCATAATGGTTAATAACTCTCGCAGTACACAATAATAATCCTTGCAAGTTGCAACTTACAACTTACCACCCATCAGACATTATTTCGTTTATAACAGACAATATTCTGATCACATGAATGGGCACATATTGTGATTTATTCATAAAAGAGTATATAAGATGGTTAAATCCAAAAAATAAAAATAAAATGAATAGCATAAGGAGTTATTTGCCAATATATATATATATATATATTGCATAAAAGAACACAAAACACAAACAACAAATTTCTTTCAAATTCCAACTTTAAACACTAGCTTTAAGCTGAAACCCTACTCTCTCTCTCTTTTTTTTATTTATGTAAAGTACAAATTCTATCCCATGTCCCACTATCTTACTATCTTAGTCCAGTTTGAAAAAGTAAGAATTATGCGAATGGCGAGGGCAAATAGAAATGAGGGCAAAGTGGGAAAAACACCCTTAATTTTTAAATTTTGAAAAAATATCACACTAATTTTTTTTTTTTTTAATTTTTTTTTGTATATAAATGTTTTAAGTTTGAAAAAATGATCAAAGAAGGGTTCGAGGTTATTATTTGGATACAAATTTAGTCATGTGTATTACACTTGACATTTTTAAAATATAAAATTTCAAAAATATCATTTACTCTTCCAATAATGCCCTTATATAAGAAGAAGAAAAAAAAAAAAAAAAAAAAAAAAAAGAAGAAGAGAGACACGTTATTCATTTCACATTTAATTATTTTTTATTTTTTTTTATTTAAGTTATAGAGGGATATTTTAGTCTTTTCAGTATTCAGACCCTTATTTGCTCAAAATTTGAATGTTAAGAATTTTTTAGAACTTATAGAGAATTATACACTCTACATGCATGGCATAAGAGTGTTTTTCACTCACGACCTTAGAAATAATCAACCTAACCTCGTTGGTAAATCTTAAGTCACATAATAAAGCAAGTGTGGGTGCGAAAGCGCAAGAACGGCAAAATTTAAGTCACACGAAGTGAGAAGAAAGCGAGAGCCAAACCTAAGAGCGAAGCTCGTTTAAATTGTATGACTTAGGGATTCAGCCTGGCCAAGCTGACGAGGCCTGCCCAACTTACACCCCCTCAGTGACAATAAGTAAAAAGCCTTGGAAGAAAATTTGGTCCTCTTGGCTTTCAAGTTACACATATTTGTTACTCAACAAACAATTCACTAATTAAAGTTATTTTTAAAAGATATTTTTTAAAAATTCAAAACTATCCTTAATTTTTATTTATTTATTTTTTTTTTAACCCAACTACCCTAGCAACAATCAAAACCAGACCTTTTTTTTTTCTTTTCTTTTTTTAAACTATGCACCATTGCTGTTTATCAAGCTGAAAACAATTGTCATTTGTTTGCCCTTGTTTTGTTTGGGTATTGCCTTATACTCAAAATAATAATAATAATAATAATAAAATTAAGTCCATGAGATGGGAATGGGATTTGGCAACATGATTCATACTTTAGAAGAAGAGATGACGAAATAATATTGTTATGTGTTGTTGAATAAGATTATGTGTGTGGAACAAATGTATTAACTTTTTTTTTTTTTTTTTTTTTTTTTTTGAGAAAAGTTTTTCCATTGATGCATTAAAATCTAAGAACAATATTCATGAAATGAACCTTACATGATAATCTTACAACTCAATCAAGTTCATATCTCGCCGAAAAAGTTTTCATGGTCAAGTGCTAAAGCCGTATATGCGACGTGTGCTAACATGACTAGGGTGGTTTAAACAAATGGGGTAGTTTTAGTTTTATAAGAAGGGCACTCTTACCATGACCAACCAAAAAAATAGGACCAATCTAACATTTTTTTTGAAAAAAGGGACCATTGTCAAAATATATACGAAATTATGGAACTCAAGTAAAAAAAGCCCCTAAAATAAAACAAGAATTAAAAGACTGTATTTGTGGGCTCTTTTGTAGTTTTACAATGAATGTTATCGTTTGTTTTATAAATAAATTTTCACGGAGTGGAGTAAGTTGTAATAGAGTTTTCCTCCACGGTTTCAAGGGTTTTATGTAAATAATAATTTTCTTTGTGTACACACAAATTTTGTAGTCTGCAAATAAATAACAAAATATGGAACAAATAGTAAGTTATTGATTTGAGAAAATTGAGTACAATCCTCTGAGATATTCTTTACAAAAGAAAGAACTTGTCCTCTGATTCGATCTCTTTTGTTGGTTGGATTCAAGGGTTGTTGGAGCTTGATCTTGAATCGGGGTGTTGGCAATCTTCTTCAAATATTTGTAATTGAGGAAAACCGCTAATGATTTTTGATCGAGGACTGACGAAGCTTGATCTCGAATAGTGTTGTTTGAGGATTCTTTGAACTTATTGAATCGCGGTGAAAGAACGGCACGATTTAGATGTGCTTATTGTTCTTCGCCTTCGAAGAGAATTTGTTAAATTTGATGAAGAATGGCACGACTTTGGATGTGGAATGTTGATGAAGAACGGCACAATTTGATGTGCTTATTGTTGATCACCGTGGGATTTTGATGAAGAACGGCACGATTCTGTATTTCTCTCTGGATTTCTGAATTGATTTCTAAGTATCTGAATTTCTGAACCCTCTGGATTTCTGGATCCCTTCCTCCTTCCTCCAGGCCTCTATTTATAGGCTTCTTGGATTAATAGGATGATGACACTTGTCCTCTACTAATAAGGATAAAATCATAACTGACAGGCCGGTTATATTATGATAATTATCCTTAAAAATAATTATTCCAAATATATTTTATTAGGAATAATTATCTTTTCATTTAATCATCTGGGCTGAGCTAATTAAATAATTTAAGTGGACCAAGCTTGGACCAATTAAATAATTTAATTAAACATGAGACCCATATTTGATGGGTCAATTTGTCAAAACAAAAGTTCATAAAATTTTAATGTCTACACTTTGAAATTGGACTACTTAATTAATGAACTTATTTTTGTATATATTTTTTCGACAAAAAATTCATGCACCCATTTGCTCAAACGCCTTTGGTATTTCTATTATATGAATATTATTGTCGAATGTTGAAATTATGGTTCTTACTTGTAGTGACAAATATATGTTTCTTAATCAAATATATTTGAGATTAAAAAAATAATATACTACTGTCTTGGTGGTAGGGTTCAACGTGCATGTGTGACTGAAATTTTTTAAGTTTGGACATTCTTATTTATAATTCGGTCGAGTTTGATTTGAAAAAAATTATAACCCAAATGTATTTTGTTTTTATTTTGTATTTTACTCGTCTCGAATTAGCTAACTCAAGAAACCTAATTATATATAATATGTATAAGTATAATTTTGTATTGCTTGCATATTGACATGTAATCTGTAATATAAATTCATATACTATCTTATCATATTCTTTCAAAATCTCAACCGAGTTTGTAATACATATATGGGTTAATTACAATGACACCTCTTGAGGTTTGTTCTATTAATAACCATATACAAATTAGTCCATTTTCGAACAATAACACTCCCTGAAGTTTGATAAAGTTAACAAAGACACCCAAATCCCTCTTACACGAGATAAATTGACTCTATTGCCCTTTGACTTGTAAATTGACCTATTTCACTTATGAAATTACTATTTTAACCTTCTTTAAATCTTTTGAATGGACAAAACTAACCCTCTTTACCAAACCCACCAACCATTGAAGAAGAATAGCAGTTGCAGTGTAAATATATATCACAGTGGGAGGAAAAAATTGTCGGAACAACCATGGCATCACAGAAAAAATTGTTGAAAAAATCATGGCATCACTGAAAAAATTGTTGGTGCATATTGGCACTAAAAATATACGGAAGACCAAAAAATCATCGCCGTATATTTTGGAATATATCACTGAAAAAATCATCTCCACCGACAACGATCCTAGTCCTCTCACTCGCACAATCAGTGACCCCACTAATGCCCACAAGATTACAATCACTGCTGATCTGAGCTACGAGAGCTCCTATAGCGTAAGTGGGTGGTCAAGAACTACATTTGCCTCGACAACGATGCCATTTTCCTCCATGCGCGTGCCATGAGCATCCTCTACAGCGTCGATTGGAGTTCTCTGTTTTTTCATTTTAATTGCATATATATATATACACACACACACACACACATAACCACACACAATAAAAATTGAAGCTTTGTTTTTTTCCCAGTTCTTGATGGAATGTGCCCAATCAACTTTTGTGAATTTTCTGTTCATAATGGTCAAAGAAAAAGGGATGGGGGTGATTTGAAAATCAGTGCTTTCTTGTTTTGCCTATTTATTCGCTTACTCTTACAGTGTTATGTACTCCCACAATTCACTTGTAATCAACTTATGAGTCCGCTTAGTCAGTTTTTGGAAAAAAAAAAAAAGAAAAAAATTTAATTACATATATACATATAGTACGAATTGAAACTCTCTTTTTTTAATTCAATTGCATACACAAACATATATATATATATATATATATATATATATAAGCTACTAAGCAAAGAATCAGTCACCAACCAAGGACCACTGGCTCTTAATCTTTAATTTCCTGAAAATGAACCAAATGACCGCGTCTACACGATCAACAGAGAAAAGAAAAGGGGGTGAACTTACTTCTCTCTTCATTGATAGAGATAATTAACAACATTTGGGTTCTATAGGGTGAAAGAGGCATCGATCTCCGTGGATGCGAAATCCCCTTTCGAATGGGCCTCATTGCAGAACAAACAAGAGAAGACAAATGAATATGTGAGGACGTAGATGGATCTTCGAAAAGTATCTCGCTCATCAAAGATTAGCAGCACAACAATTACAGAGACCACCTTTGCCTATATAACCGCACACCGACGCTGATTGCAATAGTATATACGAACACACACACAGAGGAGCAGAGGCGAGCATAGCGTGAGGAAAAAGTACTCCTCGGCCAAGATACCAAGATCATCGCCGCCGATCGCTGATGGCGGTGGTCGTCGTCATCAGTGAAATTTTCTAGAGGGTTTTGTCATAATAAAGGGTTAGAT